CGGGTAATCTCAGGGGCAGGTAACTTATACATACGTCTGAAATATCTTTTTTCCTTTTGTAATGTTTTTCAGTATATTTTTCCATATATTTTCAACCAAAAAAATCCATGAAATATTTCTGTTACCTTTTTCATAAGAGGTAATTTTAATTCTTCTAAGTTTTGCATTAAAAGCGTTTTAATTTCGCCGCCGCCGCCGCTGCCACCGTCGCCAACACGACCACCACCAATAACAACATAGTATGAATAAGAAAAAGTTTTGTAAAATGCGTAAGAATACAACATTTGCTGTATCTGTAAAATCCACAGATCCACTGATTTATATAAAACTCGAGTTCAACATCCTGCGACATTTAACGATAGTGTTGCGACATTTAACGGTAGGGGAAATCCGTGCGACATTTAACGTTAACATTGCGACATTTAACGGCAAATGATTTTGCGACATTTAGCGGCGGTTGCGACATTTAGCGGCAATGGTGCGACATTTAGCGGTAAATGCGACATTTAGAGGTGTTGCGACATATAACGGCGCCACAAAGTCAAAACAGAATTACTCCCCTTCTAATATGGGCATCAGACAGGGTGAAAATGTATCTCCCCTGCTTTTCTCTCTATACTTATATGATCTAAGTGATTTCGTCAATAGCACTTATATAGCATCAGGGGTAAAATGCAGCAAACATGAGTTCGAAACTGAAACTATTACTTTTTTTAAAAAAACTTTACTTCATTATGCAGACGACACTGTTTTAATGGCAGAAACTGCAGAGAAGACTTGCAAAACCTTTTAATTATCAATGCTGATTACTGTGAATTACTCGGAAACTTAGATTAAATTCTTCTAAAACAAAGGTACTTGTTGTTTCAAGAAGTAGACAACGCGACTATACCTTTACATTCAAAGATGAAACTTTAGCAATCACAAATGAATACAAATATTCAGGTGTCTTATTTAACAGATCTGGCTCTTTTTTCAAAACAATGCAGGAAATTGTCAAACAAGTCAAACAAAAGCTATGTATTCTTTAATAAAACATGTCCAAACATCTCTGCTTTCCTATAAATATTCAAATTGAACCTATACTTCTATATGGCTGAGAAATTTGGGGATTTGGCATTTGAGACATTATTGAAAGAGTGAAACTTAAGTTTTTAAAACATATTTTATGTCTAAAGAAAAATACTTCTAATATAATTGTATATGGTGAAACTGGTACCAAACCGTTATCAATCTAAATTAAAGGAAGGATGATTTCTTTTGGGGCAAAACTTATTATAACAAATTGCAAAAGGCTTTATAACGGAAAATATGTGCAGTTGCATTGAGCAATTTTGAATATACTGTCTCAAATTTCAATTTTAAATGGATAACTTGCACAAAAGATATTTTATAGAATGCAAAATGGCGGCTTATATTTGGCTGAGTCATGAATTTCCTAACGCAAATCGGCTTGTTAAAGCAGATAACCAAAAATTATCAGGTATACAATTTTATTCATATTTTAGTGGTACGCAGGCTTAGAAAACACATCTAATTGCAAACTCAATTGTATTTTTAAAAAGAAGTTTGAAGTTCAGAAATATCTTCTGTCAAATATTTAAAATATATGATCAAATTCATAACTAGAAATCATAAACAATCGGTTGAAACTGGAAATTGGCATAGGATACCTTTAGAACAGAGAAAAGGCACATTTTGCAATCAAAACATTTTCTATTAGAATGCCAAAATCTTACTATGTATTCTCTGAAATCTATTATAATAAAGTTTGAAAAATTAATAAGCACTGACCCTTCTAATGATGTGGTAAATAAAAAATTTGCATGTTTTTATAAAAAAAAATCTTAGAAAAGTATTTGATTTAATTTTGACCATTATTTTCTAAATAATTCATTTCATTTTGTTTGAATGTTTGTGTGAATTTCTCCTGTCTATTTAGAAAGAATATTTTAAGATTACGTGCGTGAGTTAAATACTATTAACCTCGTCTACTATTTTGTAATTTGTTATGTACCATATGAGCCGCGTCACGACAAAACCAACGTAATGCGTTTGCGATCAGCATGGATCCAGACCAGCCTGCGCGTCCGCGCAGTCTGATCAGGGACCATGCTGTTCGCTATCAGTTTCTCTATTTGTAATAGAGTTTGTTAGCGATCAGCATGGATCCTGATCAGACTGCGCGGATGCGCAGGCTGGTCTGGATCCATGCTGGTCGCAAACGCATTACGTTGGTTTTGTCATGACGCGGCTCGTATATTTACATGTTTTGTGTATCGAGCGAACAATAAAATCTTGACATCTTGAACTCAAGTGGCATAACAGATTACTTACATACATAGGAAAATTTGGTCGAAGTAAATCTTGTTTTGTCTTGTAACTGTGTGTCAATATAAAGCTTTTTCGATGCACCTTTCACATTAACATTTTTTCAGTCATTACAATTATTTATTTTTACAAATGATAGTTTAAAGCCTAAATTATTGATAAAGATACAAGACGAATAACAAAGAGCTTGATTTTCTGTCAGAATAGTAGCAAGTTTCAGAACATTTTCTGTCTTCATATCCGTCCTCATAGGCAGCGTCGAACATACATTTATGAGCCGCGTCGTGACAAAACCAACATAATGGGTTTGCGACCAGCATGGATCCAGACCAGCCTGCGCATCCGCGCAGTCTGATCAGGATCCATGCTGTTCGCTTACAAACCCTATAACAAGTAGAGAAACTGATAGCGAACAGCATGGATCCTGATCAGACTGCGCAGATGTGCAGGCTGGTCTGGATCCATGCTGGTCGCAAACCCATTCTGTTGGTTTTGTCGTGACGCAGCCCATTTATGCCTACAACGCAACATTTTCAATTCGGAAACCCGCAGGCAACATGCTTGTAGGTCGAAGGCCGACGCAAAATATAAAAAGATCTGAGATTGAATTTTAACTGAATTTTTCTAAAATAAATTTCTAGATGTGTTAGATCCATCTCAAGCTTCGTAGTAGCTCGAATCCATTCATCTGGGTTGCTAAATGAAAACTGTATACAAATGTGTTATCACCAATGTACTTTTTGGCATCAATAATGGTCGGGAATTTATTATACCGACCAAGATGACTTCAATTTCTAACCAATTATTTTAAACATCGCGGCAAATCATAAATGGTGCGACATTTAACGTCATCATTGCGACATTTAACGGTAATATTTTGAGAAAATTAGCGGCGGTTGCGACATATTGAGGCAAAAGTAAGACATTTAGCGGCAAGTGTGACATTAAGCGTCATTGAGACATACCTCAGCTAGCACCTCGTCTATTAGGCGTGTACCCGTCCAGAAGTAGTCCGTATAAAGGTAAAGGTCTTGTTTATTATAGTGTCACCCCTACTGAAAGGGCCAGCCATTTTGACTTATGAGACACCTTTTGGTTGCATACCATGTACCTCCCTATTCCTACCACTATGCCAGGCGCCAGGCGGATAGAAATCGGTAACCATTCATTTTAACTACCTCGCGGCTCACGAAGCGGCCATTTCGGAACGAGTCCCACGAGAAACATTCATCCTTCAATTAACGCTCCCCGTGGGGCTCGAACCTTCGACCTCCCGATCCGAAGGCGGACGCCTTAACCACTAGGCCAACGGTACCGTATATATTGAACTCAATAATGTATAATAACCTCTTATAATATTTTTGTAATAACATAGGATTAAGAAAAATATTCATAGAATTATCAACAATATTAATCTTTGTAATTTGATTTTTAATAAGGTTATTGATATATGTAATAATATAATGCCTTTAACCATGTGGTTTTATATTTGTCCGGCCTGTCGTATTGGCCCTCGCCCTATTATTTTATAAACCTTATTCACTTTAAATAACTTGCATAGTGTATGTAAAACAAGGCCATCGGTTACAATCCTTGACTGATTGAATCCTAATATTAGCATTAGTTTAGCAACTATCAACTTTTCTGAGGCTTAAGATGTTTTATAATTATTAGGTATTTATAACTTATAATATGTACAGACGATTTGCGTGTCCTCATCGAAAAGTTTGCACCGGATTTCGATATGAAACTTTAAAGATATACATTTATTGATCTATAAAAATAAATCTTAGAACTGTTTTAAATTGTTCCTTGAACAGCATAGTATCAATAAACGCAATTAATAATAAAAAATCATCTGAATTTTAATGCTAAACACCTCTATTTCAACCAAAACATTTCAAGAAAATCCTTATTGAGAAAAATGTACCAAAATTTTAAGAAAGGTAAAAATATTGAAGATCCAAGTCATATATTACATGTTATGTGCGGCTGAACGCAGTAAGGGCTGTTTTTGCATATGTGGACCACATTTTGGTAATTTGTTTTGGATTGTAAGTGCCATTTGCAATATGTGAATTACTTTATTTGTTCACTTCACAATATTTTACTTTAAATACATTTCAAAATTTTTCATGAAAATTGACATGAATCTGGAGACGTGCTGCTTTAAATTTGTTTCCATTTTTGCAACTGCCACATTAACTGTCTATTTACAATGAAAACTAACATATATCTGTTCTTAATGATATTTATTACCTTTTACCATTTAATGTAAAACAACAATAAAGATAAAAATATAACAGATACATTGTAAAACAGAAATAAAAACAAAGCCAGCTTTGGATAAAATTTGGTTTCAAAAATACATGTACTCTTACCAACATAAAAGACACGTGATATTGCCAACATTAGCTATTTACAAAACAATACATAGTATTGCCAATATAAGTTAGCCACATTTAATATAAATGTATCTACATAGTACTGCATATATTTAATAACTGGCGGTTTTTACCTCATTTAATATAATCATTGAAAACCTTTGCATAGCCTTTTAGAATAAAATGTCAGCTGAAAGGTCTAAAAATAGTAACAGGTAATGTCCAAAAATGTTATAATGCGTACTTGCTTATTTGAACATCTGAGATATTAGTTACATAATCAAAACGGATTTAACTCAGTAGAGTTGGACTAGTTCTATAGACACTTGCAGAAATCATGATCACAAAGTAAAAAAAAAAATATGTGTTTTTTGCCGGTACATGTTACTACTTCATACAATCTTTTGGCAATATATTTTTCCAAAATTCTTACTAATTTATTAAATAAAAGAAATAAAAACATCGCTCTATTTCTGATTTTAAACTCAAAAATTTCAAAATGTTTTCGTCCCAGATAATCGTTTAGATTTTCTAAATATTCTAGAAATATCAAAACAGTTTAGAATAATATAGCTTTGTTCAAACTGTATTAGTCAAGACTGGGGGATAAAACATGTGTCCCCAATGTCTGAAGTTCTAATGCTCTGTATTTATTTAGATGCCGAGCTATTATTAGCACTGGTTGGTTTCCTGCAAGTTCTGCAGCAGACCGATTCAGACGCCCACGAGAATCGACAACATTTGGCGCCTTTACAACAGACGCGTCTTGTCCTTCTCCCTCTTCTGATTGTTCCGCAACATTTTCCCCTGTAACAGGCTTCAGTTGTAGTTTCAATTGCTGTAGTTGTTGTTGTAGCAGAAGTAGTTGTTGTTGATGTGCTTTCGTTTCCACCATCATCGTGACAGTATCGACAGCAAGCAGTGTTTATTCCCCAAGTATTTTGGCAACAGTCATTTCCAATGCAGCATGCGCGTCTGCTTCTTCTTCCACTTCCGATTCTCACACAGCACCGAGCTTTGCAGTATGGGGATTCGGTTGGAGCAGGAGTTGTAACTGGGCAACAGTTTTGGAAGCACGTGGTATCTCTGGCCCAAGATTTGCCACAACAATTTTCACCAATACAGCAATATAACTTCCATCGCCAACCGGCCCAGATTCTTTTACAACATTTTCCTTGAGTACATCCGGTTGTCGATGTTGAAGGTGTTTCCGTGGTAGTTGTGGATGTAGTGGGCGAAGTAGTGGAGGTAGTCTGGGAAGTGGTTGATGTTGTAGATGGAGTTGTGGATGTAGTTCCGGAAGTTGTTGTTGTTGACTGTGTCGTTGATGTTGTCGATGGAGTTGTGGATGTCGTCGTTGATGACGTTGTAGATGACGTAGTGGATGACGTTGTAGATGATGTAGTGGATGACGTAGATGTTGTTGAATCTGTCGATGTTGTTACTATAACCGTACGTTCAACACAAAGACCGCGATAACACCACTGCAAGAAAGATAAAGCTTGGTTGCAGTTTTTTTTATATTAGAACAATTATATTTCTGACAATAATTTGCATGAATTATAATCAAATGATTTTTTATAAAACTTAGCTTCAGTTTGTGTTCGGTTACTTAACATAAAGATTAACTAGCCGTGAACAAGTATCTACTTATCTGGTTAAGACGCATTTGCTTTGCAGCAATATTTACTAGTGAAATCGATGTGATAACGAAAGCCGAAAACTGTGACATATATTATCCCATGGATATGCTTAATCTGCAAAACATTAGTGGTGATTCCATGTGTAAAATGAGTTGTTTTAGCACCCGTGCAGAATGTAGAAAGTCCTGTCTGATATGCAAGAAAATAATAATTGTGATTATCTATCGCAGCAGATTTCACGATTTCAAATTATATATGTATACTATATATGTAATAATATATGTAATAAGAAAGTGAAACCTTGTTATCTGATGCTGATCCGCATGGAGTTCCAGCAAGAGGGTAGAGTGGGAAATAATCACCAGTACATCCGTTGTCAGTGGCACAGTGGAACCCAGCATAACATGAACTTTCTGATATTCTCTGCAAACATTGTAAATAATATATAAATATAGACTCTCTCTGCGAAAATAGATTATAATTCATAATTGTGATATTATTGCCTACAAAAAATGCAATAAAATAGAAGAATTGCTATGATTATTAGATAATAAGCTGACAGTAGTCCGATTATAAAATTAATAAATAGAAAAATGCAAACGGATGAATGGAAATGAAATAATATATAAAATACAGTACAGCGCGTAGAAATTAGTTAATTGTAGCTAAAACTCTTTAAATCGGACTATGCTTTAGACAAGTTAATTTCTTTTCAACTGTGGCTATTCATTCACGGACATGCAAGCAGACAATCTGCCTAGCAATCTAGGACCTAGGGACATATATTACAAAAACGGAAACTGCATTGTAAATTGCATTGTGTTAACTTTCAAAGCAGATTACATGCATAGACAAAAATTTACAAAACGAAAATAACTTTTCCACAGGCTTCCGCCAGGATAAAATAGCAAATAAGCACATCTTCAAGGGGCAGGACGTGAAGTGGTTGCACACTTGGTTCAATCGTGCGAATTGGTTGCAAACTTGACAATATGGCGAACACGGCGTGATTTTTTGAAACGGTTGAACGAATTTTTGCCAGGCAAGTGGGTTTCTTTGTTATTTTGAAGTTCATTAGTATGTCTATTCCATAATTCAATATATATGCCACACTCGGTTAAAGGTTTCAGCATCCTAGATTCTGTTTTGAGAAAGTTATTGAAGATATAAACTGATAATGTAGATATTTTGAAATTTGACATGTGACTGTTCTGGTCGGTTTTTCTCCTAATTTATTCGAATTTGTAAGTTTTGAACTGCATTTAACAATAACAAAATATGTTTCTGTCAATGCTGTACAAATGGTTTAGTTCGCAAGTCCGAAGATACACGTGTTAGCCATATTGTCAAGTTTGCAACCAATTCGCTCGCTTGAACCAAGTGTGCAACCACTTTTCGTCCTGTCCCTTGATCTTAATAGTATATATTTTAAAACAAATAGTGACAAGTTCTGTAACGTCTTAAAATGATTTGAAACGTTCAAACTTACAGAGTCACACGACGATGTCGAATCGTACATTTTACACTGTTCGTCCAAAGAGTAGACAGTACCCGGAAGTTGAAGTTGCTGTATTTCTTGCAGTTGCGCAGTTGGCGTTATAACAATATTGGTGTCTTGCAGACAATTAAAGGATAATCTGTGGATGAAAAAATGGGTAACATCAATATTTAGTGGTAAGAGCTATCAATATTCCGCGCCAAATCTTAACAAATGCTGGGAAATGCAAACCTGATTGAAAAAAAAATGATAAAGTAGATCTTTCTTCTGAAAATGAATTATTCTGTTCAAGAGTAATTTATACACATATTCTTGAAAATGAATAAGAATATTAAAGTAAACCTTTAAGATATTCTTTAATCTACATGTGTAATCGTTCATCCAACCATTCTTTTATGAATTAGACCAAACCTCAAAACGAGCTCTACATACAATGTTTACTAAAACATTGATTTCAATGTAGTACACGTATTTAATTATCAAACTGCTTATGACAACCTTTAGATTATAAATTCTATTAGGAGCAATGGATTCGAACTGAAATATAATTTCTTTCCGGAAATTGATTTAATTAAGCTAACACCTAACCTATATAAATACTCTTAAAGGATAATGACATATCCTCGTATATATGGACTTCAGTAGTTTAAAACATGAATAATTACCCGTTAATAAATGACTTGAAAACTGAGACACTGCACGAAGAAAATGTCCACTGTGCTTCGGCAAATGTCCTAGTTGTTGTTGCTGATCCTACTGAAGACATTATGTTTTTGGCAAAAGCCGAGCACGAACTGGATGTAAGTGTGCCGTCATGGCGCGAATTTAAACCATGGCCTAATTCATGGGCGGCAACTCCAGAAACTCTTGAGCCGTCTACTTCCGTAAAAGAAATCTGTGTCAAGAAATTATAATGGTACAGATTTGTTTTGGTACTCAATTGATAACAATAAATTGACTTAAGTAATTATACTTATTGCAAATAACTTACTTTTGTTATAAAGATCTACCGACATAGCATTAATGCAGTTAAGTTTATGGAATACTCACAAAATCTTAAAAATTGACTTGTATTAGTGACTATTCATTTAAATTAAAACAAAATGAGAACTTATACCTTTTGGTCGTCTGTATTACAAACTGTTCCAACATAAGCGACTCCTTCAACACCTGTTGTCACGGGGAAACTACCAAAATCAGCTAAATCAATCCTGGAATAAGAAAAAACGGTAAATCACATCGGATATAAAGAAGCGAGCACAACGTCATTTCAACATGGAATTTGACTAAAAAAAATGTTTTGCATATCAATGACCTATGTTTTTGGAAATTTCAATATGTTAGAACATTAAGTATTTTACATATGTGATAATCCGCAGTTTTGCTGATAGAAGAGCAAAATCACATTGTCCAATACTATGGAAGAGAATATACGCCAGTTCGTTTTTTGGCTTGTTTGATATTCTAACATGCTTATTCCTTTTCTAATGATAGTTTGTACGTAACAGTACCTAGTCTTTTAATGAATAAACATAAAGATGTCCAAGTTGCCGACATTAAATGATATGTTTATATATAGAATCTCGCAACCAATCACAACTTTTCGGCCCTTTCCGTCAGTCTTCGGATAAGTACAATAGACGAGGCCGTTCCGAATGTGTCGAAAATAAAGACATGCATGATCATGGCATACTTACATTGACAATGCCATCATATGATCATGCTGCGGGAACGAATCTTGAGTTTTTCTCCAAGCTTCAATGTTGTCGAGAATCACGTCCACGTCTATATATGATTTTCTTACAACTTCATCGTTTATATTACCACTTGTCACTGATCGACTTGATGTGGACCACGTTGCTTCTTCTGGAGTCTGTAATGATTAAAGCAAGTCAAATTAAAGTATAATGTATAAGAAATATATAATTTGAAAGATGATATTTAAAACTCAGAGGTATATATTGACGCGATATTACTTAGATAAAATACAACATGCAACAGTACCAATTTGCTACAAAGTAAAACCATCATAAATATCTGTCTAATGAAAGTGAATGTTTACATTCAAATCTCATTATTCATAAATACCCATATTTTATTTTCTTAGCTGACCTTATACTTCTGCATGTAACTGGCTTTGGCCAAAAGGACCTGAATTTTTTGCAGAACAATATGTTTCATAATGTTGAACATTAACGCCATTCGTGTATTTACAAAATAACGTTTATGTATGTGAAAGTTCCACAATCAGTACGTTTTTTTCCTCACACCTTTCAAAGCAGCGTGCCTCCAGATTCATGCTTATTTTCATGATTTTTTTTAAAATGTGTTGAAAAGTATTATTTAGTGAAATAATAAAAAGAAAGCAATTTACACATTAAAAACGACACTTACAACCCACGTAAATTACTAAAGAGTGGACAAAATATGCAAAAATAGCCCTTACTGCGTAAGTAACCCAGGAGAAATATTTTTATAAATGCTGAAAAGTCAGTCATTAATCGCACATAACCTGTAAACTATTTCTTGAATCTTGAAAATATTACTTTTCCTAAATATTAAATTCTGATGAGTTTTATATTATTGAAATATTTTTGCTCATCTGGATGAATGCAGCTTTAAGTGTGACCTTGACTTTTGACATAGAAACCTGCATCATGTGTAACAACACTACGTCCCATGATGATGAATATTTGTTTCAAGTTTTTTTCAAGATTCCTTTTTCATGTAAATGATATGCTCCAGATAATATCAAGGCATGTCATGTCATTCATTCTCGCGACTCATACCTTGTTTATATTGACCCTGATTATGATTTACTAGTTACATTACGATTCATAAGATCTCAAATTTCAAAACTACTTTATAGACCTTTCACGCATTTTCTGTTTTGATTGGCTTTTTGACAACTATGTATGAAAAATTTAATACCATGAAGTTAAATGTGATATCAAGAAAACAAAAATATTTACCTCTGCAATAATTACACCTGACAGATACATCCTAATATTGAATGAAGAATCCGTCATGGCAACGCTCAAATAGTGTAAGTCCATCTTAAATATAAATAACAATGGCATCAGGTGAATGTCGTCATCACAAAGTCAATTCAATAATATATGCCGATTACATTACCGCCAGATCCATGATTTTTTTCACCAGAATGGTAACAACCTAATATGACAAGGGGCAATGCTTCTTTTAAATGAGGTGGGTTCGGGGCAGAATATAATTATACAAAAATTTTTTCGTCGGTGTATGTAGGTTCGTTGTAAACCATTTATATTGGACAGAGCAATCAATATATGGTTCCATGTAAGTAGTCTAGGCATCGTTAAACCGACGCCTATACTACTCATGTATTGTAAATTAATTCCATTTCACCGGGTGAGTGTGCACCATATATCCACTGACCAAGAAATAAGTCGACTTTAACAGGCTTACACATGACCAGCCCTATTTATGAACAATAATATATCTTTCCATTTTGTCAACAATTTATTATTATTAGTTAATGTAGGAAAGATTTCATGCACTTTTACATGCATCGATTTATTAAGGCATCAAGTAAATACTGATAATTAAAAGGCTTAAAGCTAAATACATGTAGAAACTTACATTCAAATATGCTATTTCTTAAATTTCTCGCTTGAATTATATACATATGATAATTAATTTTTCATGCCATGACCTGGACAAAAATGAATTCAATTCAAACTGCTAATTCCGGTCCAGTGTAAGCATTGACAAGAACGTTAAGAATTAAAACTTTCAAACTAACCTCGTTAACAAGAAGTTTCACGTACTGTTCAAGAGCCACTTTCGCTGCATCCTTGTCTGATCCTTGTTCTGCTAGAAAACTGAAGTGAAAAACACGTATATTATTTTACACTTTTAAAAGATACATTGCATATATAAATCTATTATTAGCTTTAGTGAGGTAGTATTCGTATCATTCCTGTGTACAATTTACATCTCTTCATTACATAATTATGATGTTAACTAAATTTATTTACTATGATCATTTAAATTGTGGGAGTTGTACAGACTCAGTTTTAGGACATGTATTTATTTTTTTTATTAGACACTCAGGAACTTGAAATTCTATCGATAATTATTCAAAATACATAGTATATAGGGGGTTTATTTGGATAAATATTATATAAGAAGTATATTTTTGATATACCCTCTATATAGTATAAAGGGCGTATATTTTTTGATAATACGGTTAATATTACTAGAACTTCCTGTGGTTTGTGACTTTTTGAAGAACAATGTCATGGGAATAAACTACATATGCTTTGACATGATAAAGAACAAATAATGCACGTAAAAAAGCAGACGTACTAATTGAACATGCTATCGTCTGTAGCAAACAACAGTTCTACGATATTGTCTGCTGCTGTGACGTCTCTCTTTTTGCGACCAGATTCTGTAGAATTTGGTTTACCTACAAATATAAAATAAAAAAATAAACAAATTTTATGTTAGAAGCCATATGTGTTTGAAAAATATATACAGTAACTCAATAGGAAGTTTCCGTAAGATTTCGTATGATTCCTTGCAATTGCTCTAAAAGTATAGTTTGTTAGACGTCACTAAAGTCTTTACCAAGTAAATCATTGTTTGTATGTGTGAAAATGGTCATGAAAGTCAGTTTATTTATTCAAGGGAATAAAGTTATATCTTCTGAAATATTTTTATAAAATTTATCAATAGTAAAACTTATATTTGTTCAATAATCTTATGGCCGATTCTCCAAAGATTAGTAATATAGAATGTCTCTGTTTTTTAACACACATGAATATTGTACCTAAACAGAATAAAATTTTCTGGAACAAATTACCAGTTTGCTTTTTAAGAGTTTATTCGTTTAACAATGATTTCGTGCATGTGCCTCTGCTTTTAATGCAATGCACTTCAATATTTAATTTATACAAACATTTTCGAAGTACAGTTTTTTGTTTTGTTTTTGTTTTTCAGCAATCATCCTTTCAACAGATATATAACTTTATACACTTGAAATCAAATGAAATTACTAAATAACTTTGCGAGGAATATGACTGTCGTATATTTTAACCAGTTTTTCCTTTGTTCTCCAAAACGAAATAAGATACCGCCATGAACGTACATAGATAACATAATTTTACGTTTTTAGAAATATTCCTACTTTGTCTTTCGCACAGTTTGCACGATTTTGAAAATCTGCAGTCGCTAAACAAATGTAGTTTTATGTAGCAAATGTAGTTTTAATATAAATTTGATAAATATAGTATAAAAAATCGAACTCTATGACCGTTTGGTTGACATTTTATGATTTGTATTCCATTAAGTGCAAAATAAGACCAAATTCAATCAATGGGATGTGTAATGTAAAGTTGTTTTTTATATAAATATTGTGGTAAAAGTTTTTGAAACTTAATTATTTGTCACCTTAGATATCTAAAATAATTTTGATATTTTGCTCATGATAAATATCTTTAAAAGTTTGACAGACATTTTTCACTCTGTTCAAATTTGAAAAGTCAAATATCTGTACAAATTATGTAACAGTAAAGACATACCTACGATGAATTTATTCCTTTTGATATTTTTCAAATAATTGTTTTATTTTTCTTGATATTTACAATACTTTTCACAACAAATGCTCAGATATTCTCGGTCAAATTGGTAATTAGAAACTTTAAGCATAAGTGTCTGTAAATTTCTTAAATGTTGGAAAACATTAATTATTCTTTACAAAACACGTGAGTTAATATGAATATGTAGATAATAGAAACAATAACATTTTACTACACTCAAACATGTACATTAGTATCTGAAAAAAAACACACTTTAACTTACCTTCTGCTGCAGCAGACGACGGAATTTTGGCGTCATGTAGATATCTTTTCTCGTTTGGTCCATTTCTTTGTATAAAATGATGTTGGGTAAGCTCAGGTACATTTGCTGGGCTCATGTGGTACAATTTATCGTTGAAATAGAAAGAGCCATGCTGTTGACAAAAAAAAACATCAAATGTCAATACAAAGTACAAATTTAGAATAATAAAAGAAGATCGGATGCTTAATTACAAAAAGGGGGGAGGTAATCGTAAATTTGATAAGGAACGCAAATCTTGTGTCACATGACAAAGGTAGTAGTTTTTCTTACAAAATTCTCATTGTAATCTGTCAAGATGTAATTGTAAACAGGAAAATAATTCTCTTTTTGTTAAATGGTAACTATTAATTGCTAATTTTTATATTCATTTGCCAACTTGTATATTGTTAAAGCGGCACAACCATAAAAAATGTTTATTTTTTTATTTTTACTTTTAGCCGGAGAATTGAACTATTTATGTTGTACTGCTTGATTAATTTATCCGGTGGAAATAAATAAAAAAATAAGGATATCATACCAGCTTGAACATTCCATCGTCCTCGCACGAGACCAACATTGAACTACCCCTGTTAATGTCGTGATAAAATGCATAATCCTGCAATAAATGACGTCATTCATTGACACATAGTGCGTTACTTCATTTATCCAAACTAACATTATTCATTACAAATTGTCCATTGTATTTTTGTCAATATTCTAGTTATCATCTAGTTATCATCGGCATGTATCGTCAGTTTCCGTATCCTTTGAAGATGCTATAAGCGTTTATGTGACCGGGAGCAATATGATAAATATGTGTCACTTTAAAATCAGATACGGACGGTACGAAGCATTACGGTAAATCAACCCCCGACCTGCTGGAGGGATAAAAATTGATGAGACTTTGCCACCAGTATAGGGTTAGACTTCCATGCAGTCCGACCGGCCTATATACTTTTGGTCACTCAAGTTTTCTATATACATGTATTAAATTCCCATAAACATGGACATAAATCATGTGTCACAGATGTTAAATAAATGGCCAATCCCTTATGCAAATCCAGCAAGCAAGACGGCAAGTGATGAGCTAAATAGACTCAATAGACTCGTTGTAACTTCGTGCTTACATTGCAGAAAACGACAAAACGTATGAAGTGTCATATCTTCACTTTCTGTCGTGGCAATGTTCAAACATATTTTATCTTATAACTTGTACGTTGAAAAATTACATACGTAAAAATATATAATATATATAATAAATGTAATGTATTTAAACTCTGGTCTACTAAGACTTTAGAGGAATTTGTCTTTTACAAAGAATTCAAATCTACCTATAATCTGTACACATGTAAATGAATTCAACAATCGTTAAACTATTCGTACTTTGCTTCAGCATGATTATGCATGGTGTATACCACGGCTTTGATTAATAAAAGCCGTGCGTATACTTATTGTCAGCAATCGTCCCATTTTAAAACATACAATTTAAGTTATTTTATTTGACTTACATTCTGCTCAGGAATTTCTTCCTTTACGAGTTTTCCGTTCTTCGAACTGTAGAGTGGAACGTGCGCCATAAGAAAGTCGTTATTTTGTAAGTTCAAAATGATTTCTTTCGCATCCACTTCAAACCGAAAAGGAAGATGGTAGGGGAAAATGCAGACACCTTCAGCCGACCTCTCAACTCGTGCATGTGCAGAATGTAAATGTTCAATTTGCACGTGTTCTGTGGTAAGAAATTTGTAATTTATTAAATAATTAAGAGAGCATTCTATATTTAATATTCATATTTTGGTTATTTATATTCTTGCTTAATTCAGACAGAAAATTTTATACAATGATATTATTAATTATTTCAACTTAAAATGAAACTATTTCTGTTTATTCATTGACAGCAACATAAACTGCGTCTACTTAAGCTTTGCGGATAACGCATATGCGAAATGCAAAAGAAAAATTTACTTACCGACATCTCCACTTAGCGGCCTTAATCTTATTACTGCGTGCGCAGACGTTAAACATGCAAGCAGAATTCCAACTAACTTAAACATGTTGGCCAGTTATCTATAAAATAGGAAAATTCTGTTTTATATACACCATGTCTATTCTGAAATCATTTTTACATTTTACTTTTAAGGTTCATAAAACATATACATAAAAGTATGTAAGGAAGAACTACATGTATTTGGAAAATTGAAAAGAAAATAGTGCAATTAGTTGCAGTCATTTACAACTGTATACTAGTGTCCATGCATAGATACAAATTTTAGCATCACGAATAAAAGGAAATGATATTGCCTCAGAAACGAAGAAAATTTTACTTCTTTAGAAAGAACAAATATGAATTACATAACATTTAAATAATGCTGATATAGCAAGTAAGATACTTGTAAACTGAAGAAAGGAGCCATGAATATAAAATAATGTGTCATAAAAGAAGCAAAATGTAAACAAAATAGTATTTTTACTTTCATTCAAATACTAAATCACTGTAATTGTTAAAACTGCCAAAAAGCAGCAGCAGCAGGAGAAGAAGACAGTTCAGATAATTGGACAATGAGCAAATATAAATGTATGCCAAAATAAAAAAGCTTTGGAGAAATAAAAATTAAAGCCTATCTGAGGCATAATGGGCCATTAAAAATTGATTTTATGACTAATTTATAAAATAATTTGAAAGCTAGAATATGCCAGAATATGATCCCGTACATAGAATTGAATTCAGAATAAAATTTAACTGTACTGTATATGATATGCATTTACTTTCTCTTCTAAAACTAAGCTTTAAAGTTGAGTTCTTTATCAGAATAAATATAAATTCTAAAAAAAAATGAATAAAATAAAAAAATATAAATAACGAAAACATGACTTACCAATTCTGACGCTACTCTTTTAAAAATTTATATTTATTTATTATTGTTGAATATTTTAGACAATCTTCTCTTGTGTACAATCAATGTTGATCACGTGACGAGTCCGAAGCTTGTTGCTTGTATTTTCTTCCAGAGTCGTCGTATATATACGTGAGTTAGCGAACACCCACATGTAATTTACTACGTCAGAATCTAGGTTCAAAATTAAAAACAACTGATAAAAACCCCAAACATCTGGACTACCATATTTGGTATATCCGGTCAGTTAATATCTACAGATGAAGATATACAACGCTCCTGGCCTAAAATCTTTTCATGAAGTCCAGTATAATGTCCGAATGTCTCAATTGTTTTCATGATAAATACTTATGATAAGTCATGAAATGAAAATAGGGAAACACGTTTCGCTTGGAGATATTATGGATCACTAAATTATAATATGGTTCGTTATACGTTATGCCAACATCATCATCATTTCATTATTGTTGTCTTTGAAAAATAAAATGCCATTGAACAGAAATTTTTGGTTTGTTTGTAAACATCTATTTTGTCTGTAGATAGGGACTAATTGTGCAGAGAATCACATGTTGAAGTTTTGAGTAAGAACACTACTACTAGTATACTATACTATTTATGTATCTTGTTTTCTAATGGTAAACCAATAACACACTTTTGGTACGGGTGTTTAATTGCCTTTGCCCGATCCGTCACGGCAATGCTATTAATGTATGTTAAATAGCGATGACAAGAATACACGTTAAGAGAGCGATTAGACACTCTAATTTTGTGCTAACCATTGGTTTTGATGAATTAAACAATGTGAAGGAATAATAAGAATACATTAAACAAAATATTTGGTGTGCTTGCAGGCCTATAAGGATCACAAATCTTACAAACTTGCTAGATGCTTTTACTCCCGATTTGGCCTAACAATATATTTTTTTCGTAATATTTTGTCATCTTGACAATATCTTTTAAATTCAGTATATTCATATTAATTTCCAACGATCATTATGCGTTGTATTTTTTAACAACAATACAATCTTCTTTATCTGATTTTAAATACATGTGATAGAAAAACATAAGATATAATGTTGTTTGAGTTGTTTCTGTGTTGTCATTTAAAATCAGACTATGTTTTTGAACGCTGATTTAATCTGTTACCAATATTTTGATATTTACAGATTTGAAAAATATCAAAGAGACCTGAAACAAAAGTCTCATTTCACCTGTAAGTTGCCATTCATTCCCTTAAAAGTTACAACATTGCTTTAGCTTAAAGTGCGTTTTCCAATAACTAATACGTTGCCAAATATACATGTCTTTTTTTTAAATATGCATGTCTTTTTTAATCAAGCAATTTGGAATGGATATGAGCAACAACTAAATTGAATGAAAAAAAGTTTTTAATAAACTTTTTTCGTAGTAAAAATATGAAATTGACTAGACTTTAATTATTTATATGAACTGGAAAAAATGATATTGATATGAAATATTGAATTACATATCAAGGATGCTTTAAGAATAAGTGCGATATTACAATAAGTATGTATCCGGTGGAAAGATTTGATCTGAACTACCGGTCAGGGTTACAAAATCCGACCCAAGATAACCTGACCAAAAGTAAATGAACCGCTCAATCAGTTAGCGTCACTATACACCCCTTTTGCCGCACCTACCTGTTCAATGTACCGTAATTTAAAGCCAATGGGTATGATCAGTGATTTATGTAAATCATCATGACGTTAATATCTCTATCTCTTGTTAATCTGGCAATTTTTTGCATGTACTCGATATTCGATAAGATTGTGAAATTGTGGCGCCATTATAAGTCGCAAGGCAGCTAAATGCCGCTTAATGTCGCACCACTGTCCCTAAATGTTGGAACCGGCGCTTAGTTTTGCAAAATATCCTATCGTTTACTATCGCAATGGTAACGTTAGTGTCAAACGATTGACATTCATTTTGATTATTATGGAAAATTCTCAAAGTACAAGTCCAAATTGGTTGAGCAGGCAGGAAATTCCATGTTTTCAGTATCCCTAAAGTCTCGAGAAAATCGGTATGTCAATTTCTGTTCAACATGATTTATCCGATGTTAATGTATGGATGTGAAGTACTGAGGACAAAACCCCACATAAGTCCACTCTATTAAACTGAAGGTGTGGGTTATGTCTTTAAGATTAAAGATGTAAGGTTTTGTCCACTCTATAAAATTCATGTGTGGTGTTTTGCCCACTCCTCAAAGATTTTGAGGTGCGGGATTTTGACATGTGTGGTTTTCTCCGTCTTCCAGGTGAGAAGTATATGAGGTTCGAAAATATTAAAGTCATGTTAAATTTTAAAATAAAGTACATGTTGAATTAACTGATTTTAGGTCTAGAACAATCGACACCTTACTGGTGAGATATGGTGAATGAGGTGTTGAACTTCAGTACAAAGTTCTTCACCATTGCTTTGTTACTGGTCGAAACTTTGTTGTTCAGAAACGATAAGATCTGTGAAATAGTGTATCATACTGCTCTAGCACTTCAAAATGACAATAAACGCAAATTTTTATGACTTTTGTATGGACTCAATCAAACCGAGTCGACAATTTTCGTGTTACTTTGTTGTGATTAATGCTTCCGAGGGATCACCCTTAATTTTTTCAGACTTTTGCCAGGAACACAGTAAATAAATGTATTTTTTATTTCATTATTCAGAATGTTAACAATTTATTACATCTGAATTACATGATTATTAAACGCAAATTGGATTCGCAGGAAAGGTATACATGTAATTCAGTTAATACATCTTCTAAATGTTAAGTTTGCCGGCATGTTAACAAAATATAACTTCGAAGAATACTTATAATACTAAGAAAACTTAGATGTGCTACAAACTAACCTTATTAAATATTTTTGTAACTCTACAAATCACCTGCTCCCTTTAGAAAAATGGCCGTTATCTTGATATTGAAATAAATCTTATTAGATTCTGAATACACTATAATAAAAATTAAACTTAATTCGGAATGAATTTATTTTTTTACTTGAATGTGATACTTCAAAAGAAATTAGAACTAAAACGTTGAAGTATTATTATCATTAAGAATTAATAACCTGTAAAGTCAGGCTAAATTAATAAAACAAGCCTTTTACTCTGAAAGAAAATTTTGTCACTTGTCAAGTAAGGTTTGTTCTTATTTCCCTTCGTCTCGAGCTGCCTTTAATTTGGGGACCAGTCTCCTCGGGAACCACTCTCACCTTGACTATTTATTTTGTCCCTCAATGATATTAATAATTTGTCACTTGTCAAGTAAGGTTTGTTCTTATTTCCCTTCGTCTCGAGCTGCCTTTAATTTGGGGACCAGTCTCCTCGGGAACCACTCTCACCTTGACTATTTATTTTGTCCCTCAATGATATTAATAATTTGTCACTTGTCAAGTAAGGTTTGTTCTTATTTCCCTTCGTCTCGAGCTGCCTTTAATTTGGGGACCAGTCTCCTCGGGAACCACTCTCACCTTGACTATTTATTTTGTCCCTCAATGATATTAATAATTGTTTTGATTTAAATAATTAAGCTGATGGTGATTTGAACCAGTTATCAATGTACAAATGTATATGTTGATTTTTGCGGAGGACATTGTTTTATTTACGACAAATGCAGACAGTTTGCAAGTCAAGCTTGATTGTATCTATCAATACTCGATTAAATGGGGCCTAAAGATTAATATGAAAAGTCCAAAGTATGCATTTTTGAAAAGTGAAAACAATCTAATTATTTTGAATGGTTTATAAATGGTGTGAAATTGGAATTGTAGATATTTTTTATTTAGGTGTAAACTTTATTTACACTGGAAATATTTTTTAAAAAAATGTGTTACGGTGCTCTCTGGCCATACTCCCAAAGCATATAATAGTCTCCTGTCATTATTTAGTAGAATAAATCTTAATATTTAAACTAAGCTTTCACTGTTTGGTTCTATGTTTCTAACTGTTTATCGTACGCCTCGGAGATTTAATTGGGACATTTACGAATTTAACGAAATTGATAAACTACATTTAAAATTTTGTAAACATATTCTTGGAGTTCGAATACAATCAACAAATTAAGTGCTATTAGGAGAATTGGGTCGTTTCCCTTTGTCAGTTTTAATGAAAGAAAGGAACTTGAAATACTGGATAAAAATAATGTATAATCTACGGAATGCCGTTAGGGCCATCGCCTATGAATGTGTTGATCTAAAACGCGATAGTCGATAGTACGATGGTGAAAACGCGAAATCACTAAACTACGATGGTGAAAACGCGAAAGCACGATGATGAAAACGCGATAGTACGATGATGAAATCGCGACAGTACGATACTACGATGATGAAAACGCGATAAACTATCGTGTTTTCACCATCGTACTGTCGCGTTTTCACCATCGTAGTTTCGTGATTTCGCGTTTTCATCATCGTACTGTCGCGTTTTCATCATCGTACTGTCGAGTATCGCGTTTCAGATCAAACCATTCATAGGCGATGGCCCTAACGGCATTACGGAATGCCGTAAGGGCCATCGCCTATGAATGTGTTAATCTGAAACGCGACAGTCGATAGTACGATGGTGAAAACACGAAATCACGAAACTACGATGGTGAAAACGCGATAGTACGATGATGAAAACACGATAGTACGATGATGAAATCACGACAGTACGATGGTGAAAACGCGACAGTACGATGATGAAAACACGACAGTACGATGATGAAAACGCGATAGTACGATGGTGAAAACGCGATAGTACGATGGTGAAAACGCGATAGTACGATGATGAAAACACGACAGTACGATGATGAAAACGCGAAATAACGAAACTACGATGGTGAAAACGCGACAGTACGATGGTGAAAACACGATAGTTTATCGCGCTTTCATCATCGTAGTATCGTACTGTCGCGTTTTCATCATCGTACTTTCGCGTTTTCATCATCGTGCTTTCGCATTTTCACCATCGTAGTTTCGTGATTTCGCGTTTTCATCATCGTACTATCGACTATCGCGTTTCAGATCAACACATTCATAGGCAATGGCCCTAACGGCATTCCGTAATAATCAACACATGTCCCTGTATAGAAATGTTTGTTAGAGAGCAATATAATCTTCCGAATGTAAATGCTTGGTCAAATAAATTAAAGCGTTAATTAACAGTCTATGTTTCAGTGATATATGGTTAGATTTTGACTTTTTGTATTTTGAGAGAAGCATATATAAAGATTCATAATATGTAGCTAAACTTGAATACTATACACAATTTAAAGTTGATTTCTGCTATGAAAAATATTTAGACATCATAACTAACAGTAAAAGAAAGAGGTAAACACTAGATATATAATATCAGCACATAATCTTGAAATTGAAGTAAATAGATAAACTGGCATTGAAAGATAAAATCGTATCTGTAAACTTTGTTTATCACAATCAATTGGATCCGAGAACCATTTTTATTATGCTGTAATAAATATAATGATTAACGACATAAACATTTTGTAAATAATGCTTGGCCGTCAGTCCAAAAGTTCATTAATATTATGTCATCAAATCGTAGAACTAATATTGTTACAATGCAGCCTGAAGGACTACGGAATGCCGTTAGGGCCATCGCCTATGCATGTGTTGATCTGAAACGCGAAAGTCGATAGTACGATGATGAAAACGCGAAATCACGAAACTACGATGGTGAAAATGCGAAAGCACGATGATGAAAACGCGACAGTACGATACTACGATGATGAAAGCGCGATAAACTATCGTGTTTTCACCATCGTACTCTCGCGTTTTCACCATCGTAGTTTCGTGATTTCGCGTTTTCATCATCGTACTGTCGTGTTTTCATCATCGTACTATCGCGTTTTCACCATCGTACTATCGCGTTTTCACCATCGTACTATCGCGTTTTCATCATCGTACTGTCGTGTTTTCATCATCGTACTATCGCGTTTTCACCATCGTACTGTCGTGATTTCATCATCGTACTATCGCGTTTTCATCATCGTGCTATCGCGTTTTCACCATCGTAGTTTCGTGATTTCGTGTTTTCACCATCGTACTATCGACTATCGCGTTTCAGATTAACACATTCATAGGCGATGGCCCTAACGGCATTCCGGAATGCCGTTAGGGCCATCGCCTATGAATGGTTTGATCTGAAACGCGATACTCGACAGTACGATGATGAAAACGCGAAATCACGAAACTACGATGGTGAAATTGCGACAGTACGATGGTGAAAACACGATAGTTTATCGCGTTTTCATCATCGTATTATCGTATTGTCGCGATTTCATTATCGTACTATCGCGTGTTCATCATCGTGCTTTCGCGTTTTTACCATCGTAGTTTCGTGATTTCGCGTTTTCACCATCGTACTATCGACTATCGCGTTTTAGATCAATACATTCATAGGCGATGGCCCTAACGGCATTCCGTAAAGGACAGCTTAATCCCCTTCCGCATTGAACATAATGTGTACTTCTTTACCTTTTACCAACCATGACCTTTATGCTGTGCCATGAATATCATAAGCACATAATATCACGATGGTACGGAATGCCGTTAGGGCCATCGCCTATGAATGTGTTGATCTGAAACGCGATAGTCGATAGTACGATGGTGAAAACGCGAAATCACGAAACTACGATGGTGAAAACGCGAAATTACGATGATGAAAACGCGATAGTACGATGATGAAAACGCGACAGTACGATACTACGGTGATGAAAACGCGATAAACTATCGTGTTTTCACCATCGTACTCTCGCGTTTTCACCATCGTAGTTTCGTGATTTCGCGTTTTCATCATCGTACTGTCGTGTTTTCACCATCGTAATTTCGCGTTTTCACCATCGTACTATCGCGTTTTCATCATCGTACTGTCGTGTTTTCATCATCGTACTATCGCGTTTTCACCATCGTACTATCGCGTTTTCACCATCGTACTGTCGTGTTTTCATCATCGTACTTTCGCGTTTTCATCATCGTACTATCGCGTTTTCACCATCGTAGTTTCGTGATTTCGCGTTTTCACCATCGTACTATCGACTATCGCGTTTCAGATCAACACACTCATAGGCGATGGCCCTAATGGCATTCCGGAATGCCGTTAGGGCCATTGCCTATGAATGGTTTTATCTGAAACGCGATACTCGACAGTACGATGTTGAAAACGCGAAATCACGAAACTACGATGGTGAAAACGCGACAGTACGATGGTGAAAACACGATAGTTTATCGCGTTTTCATCATCGTAGTATCGTACTGTCGCGTTTTCATCATCGTACTATCGCGTTTTCATCATCGTAATTTCGCGTTTTCACCATCGTAGTTTCGTGATTTCGCGTTTTCACCATCGTACTATCGACTATCGCGTTTCAGATCAACACATTCATAGGCGATGGCCCTGACGGCATTCCGTACGATGGTGGTTATTTGTACCAAGTTATTTAAAATCTTCCATAAAGTCAAGAAGTTACGGAGAACATATAACATTGACCTTGGGTGTAGCAACCTGGATGTTGAGCTCTGCAGATTGTGTCATGGTGGAGATCATTTGTACCAAGTAATTTTAAAACCTTTGAATTGTCAATAAGAGCGAATATGAAAAATAGATGTTTTTAAATTGGACCTTTGAGTGTGAGTGTGAGGCCGGGTTTTGACTTGATTATTGTGCTCTGCCAATGGTGCCATAATTGTGATTATTTCTGCCAAGTTATGTTTAAAACATTGCAGCGGTTTAAATGTTATGGACAGACACGAAATGTAGACTTTCTAACATTTGACCTGTAAGTGTGACCTTAACCATCTGTACACCGTCTCATAATGGTGATCACTTGTGCTAAGCTATTTTAAAAAAAAAATCAGATTTTTAAAAGTTATGGAGGGAACATGCAATGCAGACTTTATACATTTAACCTTTGCACATGTTCTTATAATGGTGATCAATTGTGCCAAGTTATATTTTAAAAATTTCAGCGGTTAAAAAGTAATGAAGCGGACACAATGTAGACTTTTTATTATAAGATGAAGACTTTTTAACATTTGACCTTTAAGTGTGTCCTTGACCTTGGGGGTAGCAATCCAATTATTGCGCCCTGCACATTGTCTCATTATGGTGATCACTTGTGCCAAGTAATTTCAAAAAAAAATTCAGCAGTTCAAAATGTAGAATTTATATTATGAAATGAAGACTTTTTAACATTTGGCCTTGACCTTGGGGTTAGCAACCCAATTATTGCGCTCTGCACATTGTCTCATTATGGTGATCACTTGTGCCAAGTTATTTCAAAAAAATTTCAGCGGTTTAAAAGTTGTGGAGCGGACACGTAAGAACGGACGGACAGAATGACAGACGGATGCCATTCCCATAATCCCCTTTCCGTACGCGGAAGAGGATTAAAAATGCAAAGTTTACAACGGAAGCTTATTAATTTGAGAAATTTAACCATAGAATATAATGTTGCTTCTTTTATTGATTTTATTTTTGTTCTGAATTTAAATTTTCTTAATGTTTGATATTTTGTGATTATTCATTATTCAAAGATTAAATGTGCAGTACTTGGGTAATATTAATGTAACTTTGTCATGCATGGAAGGATTTTTAAATAACTAGGCACAAATGTCTACCACATCAAGACAATGTGTCGCGGCTAAGGCTTATGTCCGTCTGTCCGTCCGTGTGTCCCCACTTACACAACAATCATGTCCAGACTGTAACTTTGTCATGCATTGAGGGATTTTGAAATAACTTGGCACAAATGTATATCTCATAACAACATTCTGTCGCGTCCAGGAACCACGTCCCTTCTTTAAAGGTCAAAGTCACACTTATATTTTGAAAGTTTACGCAATTTGAAATTACATGTACAATAATACAAAAAACAATATCAAGCAATTACTTGTTGAAGAAATTTGACACATACATAAAATTTACTTTGATGTTAAAAAGTATTCGATATTTTTCTTTCTAAACCAACATTTGAAAATACTCTGTGACAAAAACACTAATGGTGTTGACATTAGGATAGGGACGAATTTAGGGTACCCGACGATATTTCGTGCGAAAATATTGAAGTAATTTAGTCGATTAACACCTAATCAATTTTTACAAACAGCAGATATCACGACGAAACGAAACGAAAAGAAAGTTTACTAAATACGATTAAAATGCCGATGGGAAGGAAAAGGAAGGGTGGTAATTACTTTATTTAATCTTTTTAGTATCATTATCAATGTATAAGTCTTACTCTTAACTGACAATGCTTCTGAATAAAGGAAATTGCTGCGTAAATAGACAATCTTACATATATTTCGGATATGTAATTTTCGGATAAGTTTCCAAAATGCAAGCCTACAAAAAATATGACTATATATGTGATTTATGTAACATTAAGTTAAGTTAAAGAAATTAACATTTCTCTTATTGATGAGATTTCCAATCTACTGGTTATGCCATAGACGTCACATCTATTCCCTTGAGATTTGGAACTAGGTTTTCTGTAAAATTTCATAATTTGTGGGAAATTAGCGATTCAGAGTCAACTCGTGCCCTGGTCAACCCGTCCTCTGGTCAACTCGTCACCTTTTTGGTCAACTCGTTCCTTGGACAACTCGTCCTCTGGTCAACTCGTCCCCAACTCGTCCCATATATTTTATTATTATTTGTTATTCGTATATTTCATAAATTATTAGACTGTTAAAATAAAATATTATAAAATTACTGAATTGGACATAATTTGAGGCTTTTTGTATGAATATTACAAATATTTGGAGTTTTTTTATCTAATAATAAGTATATATATATGCATAATTCTGATTAAATTACATACAGAAAAAAACAACACGAAGACGATCAATAGCAATAACATTTAATGTATAAAAACATGTTTCATATGCAATGATAAAATATCATATACGAGTAGTATGTCTTTTTTGTCAATATCATGTCATATATATTCATTTTCACTGTCATAGTTTTTGTCATGCACATATTCATTGTCTTTTTTTTGACATCTTACGACTCTTGGGGCTTATATAAGTTCCCGAATTCTCTTAGAAGTCCCGTTGATGACAACTCCTTATTCCTGTCCCACAGCTGGTGCGTCTGTCCCTGGAGAAAGGTGTATTTTTCCGTTGGTAGCGGCGAAGTCTTCCTTCACTAACCAATTCCGAGTTCCTTACTGCTACCTGGGCCTCATTTTACAGAAGTTTTACCAAAAGGTAGAATGGAGGCGTTCCCCTAGCCCTCCCATTCAGTCTTCTATGTCATCCTATAAAATAATAGAAGTATATTACAATACCAATAAGATAGGCACTCGTCAACTATAATAGATTATATATTTATCTCTTAATGGGGTGATGTATGAATCCATGAAGGCATTTCTCAAATTCGCTCACACTGAAGTGCTTGCTGATTCTTCCGCACATGTTTCCTACAATCAATGCAGGGGTACATTGTCACAATTAACGACACAAATAAATTAAAAAAGTCACAATCAACAACACAAATAATTAAAATTGTCACATACACCATTCACATGCAGTCTATAATCCAACAATATGGAATTCTAAGAAATGATTAATATGCACTATAAAATAATCCAATGTTGATATAACATACAACGCAAATGTGATTTTAAGAATAAATCTTATATTTATCAGGGCAACTTTTATATTGACAATTTCACAACAAACAATTATTATGTTTTTAATTGACATGATCCTTCTATAATGAGATCAATACGCACCGACATAAAGTTTTTAGCACTTCTAATTTCTGTTAATCTGTCGTCAGTCTTTAATCCATTCAGGGAGGTGGTAACTTCAAAGAGTTGGACCTAATTTTAGTTTTAATTATCATTAAAACTCCGATTAATGAAGCATTCATTGAATGTTTGCAAACTTACCTGTCTTTGTAGTTTGACATCAAAGCTATGCACGTGCGCTTAGATAAAGATCATTAAAATTAAACGTAAAAAAGACGTTATTTCATTAATATTTCGATATCAATTTTACATAAAAGAACTATTTAAAGACATTGATTTACAACATAAAAGTGACAAATAGATCAAAAGTAGGGGACGAGTTGACCATATTAGGGACGAGTTGACTCTTTGAGGACGAGTTGACCAAAAGTAGGGGACGAGTTGACCAAAAAGGTAACGAGTTGACCAGGGGACGAGTTGACCGGATTGCAAATTAGCACTGTATCTTTTTATGGCGCCGAAAAGAGGCATATTAAAATTGCAGCGTCTGTCCGTCTGTCTGTGTGTCCCCACTTCATTTGAGTCTGGACTGTAACTTTGTCATACATTGAGGGACTTTGAAAGGCTATATCCTGGAATAGACCCCGGGGTCTAAACCAGGAGTATATATAAGGTTCATTCCGTTTTCTTTTGACTTTAGTGTATTATATACAAGTTTTACTTCTGAAATTTCCATAGGGGTCTAATCCAGGAGATTGCCCTTTGAAATAACTAGGCATAAATGTCTACGGTCTCTACCACATGAAAACAATGTGTCGCATCCAAGACTTACTTCCCTACCTCAAAGGTCAAGGTCACACTGCCATTTTGAAGTTCACTTTATCACAATTAGAGTTTATAGGTTCACACATTTGTGTCCAGACTGTAACTTTGTCATGCATGGAAGGATTTTAAAATAACTAGGCATAAATGTCTACCACATCAAAACAACATGTCCCGACTTAGACCCATGTCCCTACCTTTAAGGTCAAGGTCACACATATAGTTTGAAGGTACTCATTCTCTTGAGAAGAGTTTGAAGATACACATTCATGTCCGGACTGTAACTTTGTCATGCATGGAAGGATTTTAAACCGGACTGTAACTTTGTCATGCATGGAAGGATTTTAAAATAACTAGGCACAAATGTCTACCACATCAAGACAATGTGTCGCGGCTAAGGCTCCTGTCCGTGTGTCCCCACTTAAACAACAATCATGTCCAGACTATAACTTTGTCATTCATTGATGGATTTTGAAATAACTTGGCACAAATGTCTATCACATAACAACATTCTGTCTCGTCCAGGAACCACATCCCTTCTTTAAAGGTCAAGGCCAAACTTATAATTTGAAGGCTTACGCTATCACAATTAGAGATTACAGGTACTATAATACAAAAAACAATATTAAGCAATTACTTACTTTCATTCTCTTTCATAATACCTGCATGCTTAAGAAACCTTTTCGGGGGCATTCGTCACTTGGGTGACAGCTCTTGTTCTGATCAGTCATGCATGCCATCATTTGTCGTGTTTATCATTCTGAAATCGCTTGTCTTGTCTTTACTTTGTGGTCTCATTATATAACATGTATGTTCCATGTGTTACATTTAATTAAGAATTCATGTATTTTCATTTTGATAAATAAGAAACTATATTCAGATAATTTGATTCACTATACTTATTGTTCTCTTTCATTTCTAAATGTTTTTTTCTGTATATATTATAGCTGATTCACCATCTGCATCAACACATGAGGAGGCTTTTACAAAAAAGTCATGGACAGAAGATCTTACACTGGTTGTTGAAGGCAAGAAGATGTATGTCTCAAAGGCTGTGTTGGCATTAGCATCACCTGTTTTCACAAGAATGTTTGAGTCTGATTTTGCTGAAAAACATAAAGAAGAAATCGAGTTGAAGGATAAGAAATATGGGGATGTTGTTGAATTTCTGCAAAGCATTTATCCGAGTACAAGGAAACCTGTTGCCATAGAGAATGTATTTCAGATTCTTCCCCTAGCTGACGAGTACCAGGTTGAATCTCTACGAAAAGATTGTGAACAGTGTTTGCTCCAAGAACTGACCTTAAAATTTGGCGTTAAGTGTTGTGTTTCTATTTGTCGCTACCTCCAGCAAGCTGCATTGTATGGGTTAGAAAAACTGGAAGAGAAGTGTATAGAGGTATTACGTGATAAACCTCAGAGGGATATAGATATTGGCGAGAATTCATACCCACTTCCTTTAGAATGCAAGAACAAATTGCTGATCAAAATTAATATGCAGCTGGAAGAAAACATTAAATCTGCTAATGAGAAAATTGAACAACTGAAAAAAGAGAAAAGAAATTTAAAAACAGATCTTGAACTTTATAAAAGTAAACTTGTCTTTGACGCGAAGAGTGAACAAGAACGGGTAAAGTTTACTTTGATAAAGAGGAAGAATTTAGGCACTGTCCCAAGGCTGATGCAAAATTAGAAAATAGACAACTGGAGACTACGATGACAGATAGTAATAGAGGCTGTTGCAAAGAATAGAGCCGAGGAGGAAATTGAGGAGCTGAGTTGGACCCTTAAGGCAGAGAAGTTTATTGAAGATGGTAAAACTTACTTGTCGGCTTGGGTCTCTTTTGAGCCTGATCGTCCTCATATGATGTGCTTTGCAGATGGCACTTTTACATTGTTAGCCAAAGACAAGAAGAATCTAGAATGGTTCTTGAAAGATGTTACCTTCTCTTCAGTAAGTTTTACCTGGGGCTGTCAGAAACTTATTGAATGGAAGGACTTTATTGATCCAGACAATGGCTATGTTAATGAGGATAAAGCCATGCTGCAGGTGTTTATGATGATTCATGATCCACATGAAGCATGAGACTGTTGTTTATGGTGATTCATGATGCACTCAATTTACGAGACTCATTGTTTGTGATCATTGATGATCCATAGGTACATGTAGAATAAGACATTTTGTTTATAATGCTTCATAATTTAAATGTTGAATGAGGCTTTTCGTTTATGATGATTCATGATTTAAGTGTAAATGAGTTTTTTTGTTTATAATGATAAATGATTTAAATGTAAAATGAAACTTTTTGTTTATGATGATTCATGATTTAAATGTAAAATAAAACCTTTGTTTTATGATGTTTCATGATTTAAATGTAGAATGAAACTTTTTGTTTATGACGATTCATGATTAAAATGTAGAATGAAACCTTTGTTTTATGATGATTCATGATCTATATATATGTAGAATGCGATTTTACTTGACTTGTTGTGTATGATGATTGAACAAATTTATTCTTATTACTTATTCTGTAACTGGTAAATAAATATCAGGATGTTAGATATGGCCTTTAGCTTGTACATTATAGTTGTCATTTCTAAATTCTAAATTGAAACATTTTGAGCATTATTGAATAATTTTTTACTGTTCTTTTTGTAACCACATTTAAGTTAAAATGCTTTCTTTGTGCAATAGAGCATAGCAAAATAGGAACTTTTTTCTTGTAACCTAAAGTCTTTTTATTCTTATTCAGAAAGCAATAGATTATTATCTGCTTGCCAATTTTCTGAATAAAGGACAGTATATTGTTATTTCCAAAGGCTTTAATACTGAAAATTTAATTTTGATTGGCAATAAGTATAGAGTTTGACAGAAATGTATGGATTTGTGTGTAGGATTTTTTTTCTAGGATAAATATTTTGTGTATTCTTTCCAGATTTTTTAATGGACATGATTTCATTTAACATAATATGATAATGATGTGACTAATGTTGCAGAAATTTACCTTTTCATACATTTTACTGCAACAAATGTTGTGTATTTTGTCAGATTTTCTTATTTCAGCTTTCTTTAAAAGGGCTTATTATGCTCCCCGAAAAATTTTGTGAGAGCATATAGTCGTCTGGTTGTCCGTCAGTCCTTCCGTCCATCAGTCCGTCCGTACGTATGTCCCAAATTCGTGTCCGGTCCATAACTTTGTTATTTGAAGTCGGATTTTAAAACTATTTCACAGAAATGATCATCATACATGTAGTGAGACGACGTGTCGTACGCAACATTTGGGTCGCTACCTTGAAGGTCAAGGTCACAGCATGACCTTGCAGCAAAATCGTGTCTGGCCCATAACTTTATTTGAACTCGGATTTTAAAACTATTTCACAGAAATGATCACCATATTGAGACGACGTGTCACGCGCAACATTTGGGTCGCTTCCTTGAAGGTCAAGGTCACAGCATGACCTTGCAGCAAAATCGTGTCTGGCCCATAACATCGTTATTTGAAGTTGGATTTTAAAACTATTTCACAGAAATGATCACCATATTGAGACGACATGTCACGCGCAACATTTGGGTCACTACCTTAAAAGTAAAGGTCACAGCATGACCTTGCAGCAAAATTGTGTCTGGCCCATAACTTCGTTATTTAAAGTCGGATTTTAAAACTATTTCACAGAAATGATCACCACAGAAATGATCACCATATTGAGAGGATGTGTCATCTGCAAAATTTGGGTCGCTACCTTGAAGGTCAAGGTCACAGCATGACCTTGCAGCAAAATTATGTCCGGCCCATAACTTCGTTACTTGAAGTCGGATTTAACAACTATTTCACAGAGATGATCACCATATTGAATCGACTTGTCGCATACAACATTTGGGTCGCTACCTTGAAGGTCAAGGTCACAGCATGACCTTGCAGCAAAATTGTATTCAGCCCATAACTTTGTTATTTGAAGTCGGATTTTACAACTATTTCACAGAAATGATCACCATATTGAGACAATGTGTCGCGCGCAACATTTGGGTTGTTTTTACACTTTGAACTTTGTCTGTGACATAACTCTGACACTACAAGAGGTATACCTTCCTGTGTCCAAAACCTATTCAGGGAGCATCACCCGGTTCAACCGGCTCTTGTTTTAGTATTTATAATTATCTAGATATCTAGTAACACAAGCTTTCTTAGATTTTTGTGATTATTTGAACATGTTTTTTAGATTTATCTTGTTATTTGATGTTTGGCATGTAAATTGTTTTAAGATATTTACATGGAATAAATGAGTTTTGGTTTTTGTATTATGAAAATTAGAGGAATGACTAATTTTGTTGCTTTTTGCAAAATGCTAGATGGGAGAAAATCTCATATTGATGGGGTCAGCATGTAAAATGTCACTTATATTGACTTGGAAAAAAAAGATTTTGATCTAACTTTTAAAATTAGATCAACTTTATATTTTACTAGTACTACCTTAAAATTTACAGTGTATAAAGCTATATATTTATGTGATGTCTGTAGTTAACAAAGTTATTATTTAAATTTTGATAAAAATAGTTCCAAAGTCTCAGAAGTTGACAGTTATTTGTTTGTATATTTCCCTAAAACCAAAGGACACATGTGCTTAATCATTTATTAATGGTTCAAACGCTACTTAAAGGCCCATTATGCCCCAGAAATGCATTTTATTCTTATTTCTCAAAAGCATTTTAATTTTGGTGCCCTGTTGTTTTATGCAGAAAGTTACTCATTTTCTAATTATCTGAACCATCAAGTTTTTGTAATTTGTTTTGTGCAATAAGTACAGTTACAGTGATTTAGTATTCTGTCTTGAAGTCAAAAAACTACTTTGTTTACATTTTGCATTTTTTATGATAAGTAATTTCACAGTCAGGGCTACTCTTTTCAGGTGATAAGCATCTACCATGCTTTAAAACTATCATTTACACATACAATAAAGTGAAAATTATTCATTTTGTTTCAGGGGCATAAGTACCTTTAAAATAGCACTATATTTTATGACCGCCTACGTGGTCGAGGGGTTAGAGTCGATGACTTCTAATCCAGTTACCTCTCTGGCATGGGTTCGATCCCCGGGAGATGCTTTGGTAGTTTAGCATGGAGGAAGGTAGTCTAGTACTGGTGTAACTCTTCAGGAACGATGGTTAGGAAACTACCAGCCTGTATGACTGAAATACTGTTGGAAAAAGACGTAAAAGGAAACAAACAAACAAAACAAACTATATTTTATTCTAATTACTTAAAAAAGTCATATTTGTTAAATAGCATAGACATTCAATGTTTCAACTCATGAACGTTGATCCTAATGGAAACAACTTGATTTTATTGTTTAAGATTTAGGAAAACAAATGTTTACAGATAGATAAAAGAGTCAAATCAGTATGTTAATGAACAGAGTTTATGCAAACACTATATTTTCAGATTTTTTTACACCATCTTGTTATATTTTAACATGTTAACTGTGATCAAAATTTTGTTAAATTTGTGTTTGTGATAAAATGTTCATTGCACATATGCCGGTATATTTTTTGTTGGTAGGTGGTCATAAGCATAATTATACATGCATATATTAGTGCTTGAGTTAAAAGATTATAGTGCTTGAGTCAAAGGAAGATAGTTATTGAGTGAAAATAATGATAGTGTTTGAGTTATACAAGTATTTTGTAATGAATATGACATGCAATTTTTCGGCCTGTTGCAATTTACATTTGGAAGAGCATTTATCTCACATAGTTTCCTTGATCTATTGTAATGTTTTATAACTAACAACAGCTCTTCTAAAGTTAAGTTTTATTTACCTAAACTTTATCCTATGTCGTAGTAGTATGTTTCTTGGTCAAGTAATATCTGTATATATATTTATTATATACCTATAAATTTTCTCCCTAAAATACACGCAAATATTGAAGCGCAAATACGCTTCAACGGATAGAAATTTCCGTATTATGTTAGTGACAAATACGGTACCATATATGGAAGTGCCGGACTATTTTTGACGTTGGTTCCGATCTTAGCTTTGTATAATGTTGCATTTGGAAACGGGAACCAAAATTATTTGCAAGAATTACATATTCATCCATCAGTCATAATTTATTTCTTGACAACTACATTTCATTTTCTGAATAAAACGAAAAGGTATATAATAAAAGGAAAATTATGTTGTAGTAGCTTTCTGAGACTATGTATTTTTCTACTCGCAACGTTGGAAAATTGATATCTCGCTCGACCTTCGGTCTTGGAAACATGTGAAAAAGATACTTGTTTGTTATGCATGTATTGAAATATGTAGAAAAGATACTGGTTTGTTATGGATGGATGTATTGAAATATGTAGAAAAGATACTAATTTGTTATGGATGTATTGAAATATCATCTTTCACCTACTGTTTGTTACATTTTCTTTCTGTAGGGAATGCTTAACTTCAGAAAAACAGTTTGAAGTTTATTTATATGTTTGATATTCTGATTATGTATTTGAACAAAAACATCTTTGTGAACATTTATTTAGAATTTTACATTGAACAGGAAGTACAAGTTTATGGATTTTTAATTCCAAGTATTGATAAAACTTTTTTGAATGTTTTCTATTAAAGTAATAAATATTGAAAATTGATGATTAAATGTTTCCTTTATTTTCCTTCTACTATTATGTACTTGAGCAATATGTGTGTATTTGAGTTTATTTATACTCGCCACCGGTTGCCCACATGTGCTAGTACTCCAGAAGAGTATTAGTCATTTTATATTTTGGAGGATACTGCAAGATACAGAAAGATGCCCAAATTACAGAAGCTTTGCCTGGTTCCAAGTATTTCAGCACTGATGCACGGGACCTTGATTTAATGTCAGAAAGACAGATTAGTAATTTTAGTTTGCGGCTTAAGAATCGAACCCACAATGTCAAGATAACATGTCTTTTGCTGTAACCGTTTAAGCTTTGCTTGAACAATATAAAGGCAAGAATACCTTATATATTGACTTTTGTATCAATTTGATTTTCTGTTTCTATATTATAACCTGGACCAGTATTAGCCTTTATCAACATCTTTATGTCTAGCAGAAGCTACTGTTTAACCTCTGACGAGTCATAATTTCTTCATGACAATTGATTTGTGACATTGGGTCTAATGGTCATTAAAGTGTCTTACTGCTTAGTGATACAGAAAACATGTGGGATTTTTATAACATCTGTCTTGGGACTTCAAAAATCCCTTGCCCATTTTTAGCTTGACTATTCGATAAGAATAAGGAGAGCTATTGTAGTCACCCAAGCGTCGGCGTTGGCGTCCGCGTCAGCGTAACCACTTATGTTAAAGTTTTTGTAACACCTCAAATATTTTCAAAGTCCATTGACATATGGCTTTGAAATTTTGCACACTTGTTCTCCATCATGACCCCAACCTGTAGACGGGGGAGGTAATTGTATCAAGCATTTTGACAGAATTATGCCCCTTTTCCGATTTAGAATTTATGTTAAAGTTTTTGTAATACCTCAAATATTTTCAAAGTCCATTGACATATGGCTTTGAAACTTTGCACAATTGTTCTCCATCATGACCCCAACCTGCATTTTGACAGAATTATGCCCCTTTTTATGCCCCCACAGAATGGGAGCATATAGCGTTGCACTTGTCCGTCTGAGTGTCCGTCCGTACGTCCCGAAATCTTGTGAACGCAACTCCTCTTAAACCGGATGGCAGATTTTGCTTAAACTTCCAGGGATGAACAACCTTAATGTGTACATGGTAGTAAAGGAAGGAATTTTTGCTGCGACCAAATTTAATAGAATTATGGCCCTTTGTTGATTTTTTCACTACATACTATGTAGAAATTTTGTGAACGCAACTTCTCTTAAACCGGATGGCAGATTGTACTTAAACTTCCATGGATGAACAACCTTAATGTGTAGTTGGTAGTAAAGGAAGGAATTTTTGCTGCAACCAAATTTATCAGAATTATGGCCCTTTGTTGATTTTTTCACTACATGTGTATATACTATGTAGAAATTTTGTGAACGCAACTCCTCTTAAACCGGATGGCAGATTTTGCTTAAACTTCCAGGGATGAATAACCTTAATGTGTACATGGTAGTAAAGGAAGGAATTTTTGCTGTGACCAAATTTAACAGAATTATGGCCCTTTGTTGATTTTTAGTTTTCAACTTGTGGCACATGTAGTCCAAAAAATATTTGACCTAGAGTCATAAGATTGACAGAACAGTGGCGTGTGGGGGCATCCGTGTCCTATGGACACATTTCTAGTTTCACTTAGAGTTTACGTTAAAGTTTTGTAATACATGTACCTCAAATATTTTCAAAGTCCATTGACATATGGCTTTGAAACTTTGCACACTTATTCATCATGATGACCCCAACCTGTAGACAGGAGAAGGTAACTGTATCAAGCATTTTGACAGAATTAATACCCTTTTTCGACTTTACGTTAAAGTTTTTGTAATACCTCAAATATTTTCAAAGTACATAAACATATGGCTTTGAAACTTTGCACACTTATTCATCATCATGACCCCAACCTGTAGACAGAAGGAGGTAACTATATCAACCATTTTGACAGAATTATGCCCCTTTTTTGACTTAGAATTTACGTTTAAGTTTTTGTTATACCTCAAATGTTTTCAAAATCCATTGACATATGGCTTTGAAACAAGTTGAAATTTTATACTCTTCCTTGAGAGCATTATAGGACTCTCTTTAAGGTCTATATCTGTAATATGGATTTAAAGAAAAATTTTACCCTTTTCTTTACTTAGAAAATTTTACATTATCAAGGCTTTTTTACTATCAAGCACTAAGAATAGTCGAGCGTTGCTGTTCTACCGACAGCTCTTGTTCGGTGTTCTTTGGACAGCAGGACTCTCTTAGTGTCGAACACTGTGGATAAGTAGTCTGTCACTTGTGGAGAAATTGGTGATTACTAGTTAGTTAAGTTATCTAAGAAAGTCTGATAGCTGGATCAGCAGATGAGCAATGATCAAAAGAAAAGTGTTCAAATCACATAATTTACCAGAAAAACAGCCTGGAACAAAAAGAACCAGTTGCACAAAATTTTAATATGGGAGCAGACTTTAATAGGTCTATGATTACACAGTGTCTGGTTTACAACAAGTTTGTTTTAAAATAATTAATATTTGGTCAGACACAATGTTAGTTTTACTTTTTTTAAATTCATCAAATATCAAAAAAAAAATAATGAAATTAAATAGTGGTCTGTAGCCATTTTCTGATAGTATATTGAACACCACACAGTTACCTCCCTTTTATCTAATTTTACTATTTGTAATGATTTAATTGTTTCTGTGTTATCGACTTGAAATCGTTGTTTATTTGTTATGTAGTCCAATTTAAAAGGTAAGATTGGTCTTTATCTGTTTCTTATTTTTATTTGCAAATGGCTAATTTTCATAAAACGTTTAGATATCTATGTAAGAATAAAAATCTCTGAATATACAATTAAAATATTCTTAACTTGACAGTTTAATACACATAGCAACCATTTTCTGCAGTGACAGTTGTATCACTGAAGATACTTTGGGTTCCATTTCGTTTATTCCTAGTATTTCTTCTAGTTAAGTATAGCTAGTCATTAATGGATATTTTATTTTTTCCTTCCACTGCAAGTATTCTGCCTATAATATATCCTGTTTTCTCGTATTATCAAAGGGCAAACTTTTAAGAAGAACTTAACTAAAGTGGATGAACTTAATGTAGCATTTCTATGTAGTAATCTTTTGACAAATTCAGAGAAAAATACGATGTCATGTCATCTTGTCATCTTTTTTGACATGTCGAACCTTTCAAGATAAAGTAGGTGACTTACCTATCCAAATGTCTGGATATTATAGGTCCGGATGCACTATAACATGCCTAGCTAATGAACAAATTAGTTGCACCTATTCAATATTGCATGCAGCATCAATGGCTGCTTCTAGGAGTTGACTTGAAATCTTAAAGACATAATGAACAAAGAAAATATTGCAACTGTGAACAGAGGCAAGATTTTCTTTTTAATTTGTAAATACTGACCTTCATCCTCCTAATTAGTGACTTGAATGGGTTGCTAGGACTGGTTGCAATGTGATGATTCCATTCTACAAATTAGTTCAAATCATTTGTGCCAGTCTAAATGCACCAATAGTTTATTAAATATTTTGAGCTGTTGCCGGTATAAATTATAATACGCATTGTAGTGTATGCAGGGTCTGGTGTCAAAGATCAACTTTTGCAACAACATAATTGCTTGGGTTATTTTGGTGGGATTACATATATTTAAATTTAAAAATTTTAAGTTTTCCCTAAAATTTACTGATATTTTCAGCAAAAAAATATCCTGATCATATGAGAAACAGAGATAATTACTTCTGGTTTATATATTCTAATTTCTAGAAAGAGACATTTTATTTTACAGAAAAGATTAAATTCACAATTAAATAATAATTTCATTTACTTTCATATGTAAATGTAATAGCTAAATGTCATATTTATATAGATCATAATTATTACATATTAGTATCATAATTTCATTTCCTGTTAAATATAACTATTTCATATTAATGTAGATTTTAACATGTTTTTTGTTGTTGGGTTATTTTTGAAAATAACTTTCATTCTTATTAATTACAGAGATGGAAAATGTTGGTAACATTGAGTCTGATTTAATTGAAGATGGCATTGAATCTGAACAAAACTGCTTAATAGAGTCCATCCCTCAGACGTTTGAACCTGTACTCTTTCTACACCAAGATACCTCTTTATCTCCTCAGGTACAACAGTCAAAATTAAACAGCAGTAACATACAAGGTCCAGATCAGTTACTTCAGTCTGTCACAACAGACCAACTGCCTGTGCAGATCCAAAAATCAAATTTTGAATTGGATACAGATAAAAATGTATCACCAAACAGTTTGGGTGAAGATGTAAAAAAGTCACATATTTATGTGACATCTTCAGTATCAAATGTGCCAAAATTGCAAGATGTTAAAATTGTTAAAAGCACGAAAGAGATTGCTGTTTTAAAGCAGTTCTCAAATTTTAGAGACACTGTCGGCCCTAGTACCAAAGTATCTGATATTTGTTTAAACACTAGTGAACACGTTCAGAGGACTCTCTCGCCAAAGAATGATGATTTAGATAATGTAAAAGATGGATCAAAACAGCTGAAATATACTAATAATACCAAACATATTGACTATAACAAGAACTCCCCAATATCCAATGCTACCCAAGTTAAAGACAACAGTGGCTCTGAATGCATGACTACAAAAGTTTCAATTGAAAACTATTTAGCCAGTAACCACATGGTTACAAACAATATCTGTGAAATAAGGAATGTGATCAATTCTACAGAAACCGGAGAAAATGATAGCAAGAAATGTGACAAAATGGATATAAACTCTGGTGAGATTGGAATTATTGTAACTGATGTATCAGAAGAAGTCACTGTTACTCCTAAAAGTAAGCATATTTGTATGGAAAAAGAAAGCATCACTTGTGCTACCTACATATGTGGTTCTTGTAAGATAAGGTTTGTCACACTTTGCAAACTTCATGACCATTTCGAGAAGCAGCACCATACAGGGTCATATACATACTTACAAAAAACAAAAACAGGATTTCCCAGGCTTGAAAATGTTTCTAAATTTACTCAGACTGATGTAGCTTATTTATTAGAAGTGGACCAATCTCATTTTAAAAATGATGAAGTTGTCGATATTGATGGTAATCATTTGGAAGCTGGGTTTGATACTATATGTAACAAGAATACTGTAAAACTGGCTGGAACAGAAGAAATTGAAATCAATAATGAGGATAGTTCTGAAACTTCGAAGGTTAAAAAGAGCAAGGAAAGAAGAAAGAAAAAGAAACTTAAATACAAGAGTGGTAAAATGGAATTAGATCGAAAGTTTGTGACAAACACAAAAGAAAATCCTAGTTATAAGATATATGTTCATAAGGAAAATATAGCTCAGATTGACAGCAGAAACCATAAAGAGTCAAAACCTGATAAAAAGATCTCAGATGATAATAAGCACCTTGAAAATGTGAACAATTTAACAGAGACTATGGAAACAGATGGGATAGAAAATGATGATGGTCAGTCTGAATTAACTTTCAGTGATAATAAAAATGTGACCTTTGAGATTGAAGAAACTTCTGATGCTCAGGAAAACTTCACCTCAATAAATGACACTGAAGATAGTAAAACCTCTAAATACAGAGAAATAATTCATCAAAGTCAATTAAAGTGGAAACAAAATCAAACACCAAAAAATAAAGCACCACATAAAAACACAAAAGGAATCGATAAAGATGAAAACTCAATTAATAACAGATGTAATATATGTGCCACCAAATATGTCAGTAAAGTTAAATTGCAGTATCATATGAGAAAAGTTCACAAGAAAACAACTATTGACAGTGAAAAGCAATGCAGGTGGTGTGGTATGACCTTTCCAGGATCTAAATCATGTGCGTCACATATGCGTCAGTGTGAGAAGAATGAATTTCTCATGTGTCTGATATGTACGACACGGTTCGATTCACGAAATGAAGTAACCGATCATCTGTTAAATCATAGGAATGAGAATGAATTGAAATGTCGAGTTTGTGAGAGAACTTTCACAAGTCCCCTGTCATTACAGAATCATTTACGACGTCACAATCTGCGGAGAGATTTACAGTGCGAACATTGTGGAAAATCGTTCTATTATCATAACCGGCTGAAGAAACATAAGTTGCATTGTAATCGAGAGCCAGAAATTGAATGTGAACATTGTGCTGTCAAGTTTAAAACGGAAGAGTCCCTGAAGCACCATATGAGTGTACATTCTAATGATAGGCCTTTTGTCTGTCATGTGTGTGGTTATGCAGGTAATTATTAGTTTTATGGTGTTTTCCATATTACATGAACTTTCTTTCCATGTCTAAACTGACGAAATATTTTATTAAAAAAAGATTAGCAGAAAGTTAAAGCACAAAACTGTTGATTTTAATGCAAACTTTAGACCTCACTTTTAAAATAATTAGTATTAAACATGTACATGTAGGCGAGAAGATAGGCGATAGGGCACTATATTTTGCCTTTGTCTTAGATAAGGAAAACACATTTTTGTGTATCATGTCTTTCAAACTCCAGGTCAGCACTATAAGTCTTGTATTAGAATTGAAATCACAATAATATAAACATAACTTTTTCAGAATAAAAGCTTTTTGAATCAATTAACATATGTTCTTCTTTGTCCAATGTTAATAATGGACATCTTTTTGAAATTTCAGCTAAGAAATCCATGTATCTAAAGCGTCATCTCCGCCGTCACACAGGCGAGCGTCCATATGTCTGTACAGATTGTGGTATGAGTTTTGCCGCAGCTAGCGGTCTGAACCGGCACAGAAAGACTCACACCAATGAGAAGCTGTACGTATGTCAGTATTGCGGGAAATCATTCACAAATAACTGGAATCTGAAGACACATCTACGTCAACATACGGGAGATACTCCATATCAATGTATGCAGTGTGGGAAGGCATTCAAACAGAATGTTCTGCTCAAACTTCATGCAAAGTCGCATCATCCTGTAGGGAGTGTTTTAGATTAACTTAAATTTGGCTATTTAAAATGGGCTCCCAAAAAATTAACTGTCGTAGTTAAATCCAGTTTTGGTAGTACATATTCACGCATATTTAATGTTGCTCACAATAATATATTATGTTTTTGCTAAATGATTTGATACATTGCAGAGAATAATAGTCAAATGATAAGTCTTTGAAATTCATGTAAATAAGTATGTCTGTAATTAAATATTTAACCCTTTACCTCATGAGCATATTGTGAAAAATGGCTGTTTTCATTGAAAAGCCTCCTGTTACAAGTTCAAACTGCTATGAAACTATGAAAAATGCTACAATATTGATGAAACTGGGCACAAAATTAATGTTCATTGGACCTTAGCCTCTGTAACAGCTCACTCTTAAATTTCCTGTTACCATGGCAACTGGGGGACTTCTCAAAATTGCCAAAAATCATTATTTTGCATTGTTTATTTCATCAAACTGATTTCAAAGTCCTGCAACTTCTTAATGGATTGAGATAGAGTTAAGGGCTTTTCAGTGTTGGTTACACATTACCTTACGATCGACCTGAGGCCATTTTTAGCCTGTCAAATGTTCAAAATTTTCTTGGTGATGAGGGGAACTGCTGCTCCCCTTCAAACCCCCCAAACAGAAGGGGCACATCCTTTCTTAATTGCTTTTTGTATGGTTTGATATTGAATAATCATCAAAAAGTTTTACAATTATGTACATGATGCAGTGCCTGTATACAGGGTTTTTAGATTTGTAGTTTTGATATAGTATTTGCAATATTGAATTAATGTCGTAGGAAGTTAATTTATATTAGTGTTTTTTACTGTATTATTTAGTATTTATATAGTATTGTTTAACATGTCTGTTATTTGAGTTGCCATGAAGTGTTTGTAATTCATACTGACATTAGTTTCAGATTAAATGTTGGTTAGTTTTCTTTTCTTGTTTTATTTTATTTGTTTTTCCAAATCTCAAAACAGATGGGGCAAATAAGTAAAGTAGAGTAAAGAGTAAAGTAAAGATAAGTAAAGTAACGACTTTATTTAATGAGGCTAACACATTCAGTTTCCTGATCTTCCATGTATGCCTCAGCTATACATAACAATATATACATTACACATTTTAAATAACATATTTATACACAAATAAAATACACACAAAAAGAAGCAGGTACTTTGTGTATGTTTTATTTGTGTATTTTAAAACTAAAATTTATGTACCATTACACTCATATGACTTCGTAGAATTTAGAACAAGTATGTATTGCTATGCCTGTGACATGTGAGGACCTGATTTAAATCATCAACTGTAAATAATCTGTCTGAATTGTTTTATTGCATGTAAGAAATTGATTTCTTTAGCATTTTCAAACCCACTGTAGTAATTGTACTAAACAAGAGTACTAAACCCATGTCTTTTTTTGACCAAAAAAATGGAAAAAATGAAATAAATAAAAAAATCTACAGTATCAAAACAATTCAAACAAAAATGAATCATTATCTCTATATACAGTCTTTATTTCAATTGTTTGATTGATTGGCTTTTTAGTCACACTAACATGGTAAAGGTCACACAGTGCGGTTAAGGAAGCCCATGGGTGCCTCTGTCTGTGGGCATAATTTCATGCACAATCCAGCACCTAAGTAGAACCATTGATAGCCCATTAGATAGCTGGATAGCTTCCTCACATGAAATAATCCAAAGTTCTTGGCAGGATTCAAATGCATAGAAGTAAGGGGCAAGTGGTAAAGGTTTTATTTTAAGGTGCCTTTAAGTTCAGCTGCCACTGTAGATTTTTTTGGTGGTTTGGTTTGCACCAACAATGTTGAGGTCATATGGCAATTTTCCAGCTTTACTGGTGAAGGAAGACCTTGGTTGCACCCACATAGAACCATCGACTTTATGTGAGCTAGCTGGATAGCCTTTTCACATGAAAGAATCCATAGTCCAAGGAAGGTTTTGAACATACAACAGTGAGGGGCAAGTGGTTTGAAGCCAACAACCTTTCACCACTCGGCAATGGATGCCCTTACAACTTTAGACATAAATACAATAAAGATAGAACTGATGTGACTATAGACTTTAATACTCTTTTTTTTTTTAAAAATCTGAAGCATTTTCAGCACAGTTTATACTGTAGGCAGTAATACAACGAGGCCTACAACATCTTGAAAACAGATGTAACTATAGGTATTAATACAATAAATTCTGATGCTTCTTGAGTAAGTTTAAGTAATCTTTACCATAGGTGTGTCCGTCCATAATAATATAATAAAGCCTGAGGAACCTTAAGCACAGGTGTTACTGTAAGGAGCAATACAATAATCTGTTCTATCTTTAGGTGTGACTGTATGCATTTATACAATAAATTCTGAGGAACATAAATCAGATCGCCAAGTGTTTTGTTGATCTTTCTCTTTTGTTCCCTGTTGTCGCAATATCAAACCCCAGAAAAAAAGTAACTAATGAACAGGCAACTGAATATAATATTTTTATTGATATCCCTTTCTGTGTTGTTTCAGTAAATAAACCCCAGACAAAATGAGCCTTTCGATGGGCATGCTAAGAAGTGCCAGTAACTGATACATGCACTCCAGGTAACGCACTGTACATGTATATGTATACGATTTAACTTTGACACATTTTCAACAGAAAGGTCCCCAAGCCATGGTACAAGCAATAATACAATGAACTGTACATGTGTAACTGTAAAGAATAGTACACTACAGTCTTTGTTTATCTTAAGTACAGGTGACAGCAGTCATTTATACAACAGAAAATGGAACATCTTTAGCTCAGGTTTTACTATCATAAGATTTAAAAGAATACAAAAGCAAGACATACTGATTTAAACTTCAATTGATATTTATTGAACATTATGTGAACAAGTAACTATGTAAAACCTATTTATACAATACAATCATATCAGATAACCTGTGAAACTTTATTTTCATTTTGTGACAATAATATGCTGTAGTTTATGAATATCAACTGTATTTTTATTGGATTTAGTGTTGGAGCAGTACCTCGAGACGCTTGTAGAAATCATGATCACAAAGAAGAAAATTTTTGCTTTTTTTGCTGATTTTTACATTTTTCATTCATTATTGTATATAAATTGATGTATAAAGATGAAAAAAAACATCTTTCACTCATTTCGGCGGATGAAAAGGCTTAATCATTCAAGCCCTAAGTGCCTTGTACGCTGTATACCGCAATACAGTATTTAATGTGGGGCTCCAACACTTTTTTAATCTCACATTAATTAGGTTCACTTTGTTACACTTCTGTAATGATCCTCAGATACTTAACATTAAAGATACAGTAGAATAACAAATACATGCAAATGTAAATGCAAAGATTTCATTGCGAAATAAAACAAACCTGCAAAAAACACAACAACATACAAAATAGTATTTTATCTTCAATCGTTTAAAATTAACTCTGCAACAAAATACATTGGATCAGAAATTTATTATTTAGAAGGATATGATCTTGTTTTACATGCAATTAATAATTATACAATGTTCAAAATCATTACCTAGCTGGCAATTTTTTTTTCAATAGAGGCTACAAAATTTTATAAAATTTACTTGTTTACATTGTATTATAAGTAGTATCTTCCATCCACCTTTACTATAAGTACATGTAACTTAGTTTGATTACATTTGTATATTGTTATATTTAGTAAGTGCCTATCTATTTTTCCTGCTCTGTGAGTACCCAGTATGACCTGTAGCAGTCATGCCCTTAAAGAAAAATTTGGGAGCCAGATTGGTGAGACTATCTTTTATGTAATACAGAAATATAGCTTTTGAAGCCAAAAATAGTCACTGCGCAAGGCCAATTTGAGCAAAATATATACTGTGTCTTTAAAGAGACAGAAAACATTAAGAGCATGTACATAATTAGTACATAAAGATACCTTGAAGTTTCAGGAATATCAAAATTGTTCAATTGATTGTTATTACAGGTATAACACCTTAAATTAAAAATTTAAAAGTCTAATTACAAACTTATCACATAAAAGAAACTGTATGTAGTAAAGATTGTATATTGTATTTGTTAAAATATCTTCATATGTAGCCAAATGTTCATTTTATTTTTATACAAGGGAGATAATTCCATCTATAAAGAATGGAGTTATGTTACCTAGATTTCAACATGAATGAATGCAGTTCATTCTTCTTAAACAATTTGTTTTTCACATGAAAGAGTTTGATAAAATCTTTACATGTTCAACTTTTCACCATGTTCACACTTGGTTTACATCATTAAGAGTATTTTACCACAACAAAATTGTATTGTCAACTGAATTGTGTGCTCATATTATTAACATAAATAACTTATATACATATATTACAAAGTCAAAACACAAATGATATGGAAATGTTTAACAATTAAAATGATTACAAAGTTGCAAAAATCAATCTGGAAACAACAACTTCAATAAAGATAAACATTATGTTATATTCTGAGAAACAGTCAAAGAATGTTTAAATTACCAAAATGGACATGGAAGGTGGTGGGCTAGATATTAAAATCATTCCAAAAATAGCTTTGTGTCCATGACCTCAAGAGGTCATCTGCTTGACCTTTACATTACTGTAGTTATGGACTTGCCCTTCTTTAGAAATAGAAGAGTCCAATGTAAACTTAGGGGAATTAAAATTGAGATTCCTGAATTTTTTCAATGGACCTGTCCAGCATATTTTTGGAACTGTATATTATGCATAATTGAGATTTCAAAATAAAAATTTGAAGTTGGTCAGCCAACAGTATAGAGCCTATAGTCAGACTGTACTGATATGTAAGCTAGCCTGGCTATATACTGCCAGTGACCTTTAGTCTTAGTCTTTCATTATCATCCCTGCCATTCAAAAGACAATCCAGCCTATTAAAAAAGTGAGTTTTTCATTTAAGAATTAAGAAAAAAAGTTTTAAATATTAAATAGAAAATATATAGTTGACATATTAAAATGTGTTTCTTCTCTTTTTTTGGTTTATAGAAAATAAACTGATAGTTTATTTTTGACTTGCCACTAGAATACATAACTATTACATATATACTAGTATATATATACATACATGTATAACAACCTAAAACCGGTATAAGCTTCAAATACTACCATGACAAAAAGCCCCCCCAAAAAAGGAGCATTCTTACTGAACCTCAAACTTTTTCCTCCATTTAATCCGATGATGATACTAGCACATGGTTTCAAACTTGTACTGTAACAGACTTTTTTTCAGTTACACATATTTTTAACCAATGCTGATTTAGAAAAATTAAATCTCTAACTTATCAATAAACATGAATACATAAACGTAATTCAAAAACATAAAACAAAAGATAAAGATAATGACTAGGTTTATTATGGCTGGTACTTGTATACAGTATATGTAAAATACATGGTATAGTATCTGATAAATTGTATATTTGCTTAATAAAGTATGTTTAAAGGCCCATTATGCCCATTTCTTAAAAAGCTTTATATTTTCTATTTCATTTTATAATTTCCAAGAAAAAGTTACACATTGGCCAATATCCTGATCCATCATTTGTATGTCGCTTTTTAGCAAAATAAGAATAGTTACAGTGAGTATTTTGTATGGAAGTTAATATATTTTTTACATTTTGCTATTTTTATGACAAGTAAATTCAGATTCAGTGCCTCTTTTTCTAGGTGTTAAAGCATCTAAAATGCTCTACAACAATCATTTAAACGTTATAAAAACTCATATTTGCCCTTTACTTTAAAAATTTTTTTTTTCATTTCTGAAGCATAATGTGCCTTTAAACTAATATACAAGTTACTAGTTTGAGACTGTTTACAGTATATTTATATGTTCGCAGTTTAAAAAGGATGGTTTTGTTTAAAAAAAAAAATCTGAGACAAACAAAAATAAAGGAGTCAAACAATCTAAATAAAATTATAATCATAATGACTGCATCCAACATGGGTAGAATTTTAAGTCTTAAAGTCTTCCTAGATGTAAGTAATAACCATAAAGTAATAAAAGGTGTTAAAAATCAGCTGTCAATCAAAAATTAGAGATTACTTTCACCATTTCCATTAAAAAAAGTTATGTTTATACAACACAAATTCCCCTGTCCAAAATGTGTAAATCAATGATAATGTAATGGTAAAAATTGTCTGAATGAAAGTACTTTACCTTGACTGTTAACTTAGTCACATTTCAATTTATCAAATTGAAGCTTTTATTCAGAAGTACGCATTGCCAAATTATGATGGCCCTTACTTATATAACATAATTATTAAAGTCACGCTAAAAGTTGACTGCAAACAAACAAATAAAGCACAAACAACATGCCAAAAATCTATCAATACTAGGGCACAAAAAAGCATAATTCAATTACAAAAACAGCAACAATTAACTACTGGTTCATTATATATACACAGGCTTCAAACTTTATCATTTCACTTTTGTACACAAACTATTCACAGCTAACACAGACTAAGTGATATTTGGTCATGATTTTCTGTTTAAGATTTTAACAAAGTCTTATGTCTTGTCAATTGTGAAACAAAAATATATTTACACTTATCACATACATGTATAATACCTATACAGGGTTCAACATCAGTATTGAACAAGCAGTGTCACATGAAAATTTATAAGAATTAATCACAAATATAGCTACTTGGTCCTATTTTCATTGCTTATTCAAGTGTTTGTCTCTATGTGGTACATTTAACAATTTCAACAAAACAATTTTCTTATCATCATATCATTTTATCATTCATATCCAATACCAAAATACAAGTTGAAAATATTACCCCCTTCAAAATGCGATGCCTTCTTATCCAGCAGTCATAAGCAAACCAAACTTTATGTCCTGTCCAAGAAATGAAGATATGGGCAGCTCCTCTTAAATTATTTAAAGCAAAAACAAGCACCAGAACCATCAAACAACCATGATCTTTTCCTCTATGTTGAACAGACATATGATAAAGATAATATGACCACGTTTTATCTTTACTGGTGGAGGAAGGAGGACCTCAGGTGCCCTCTGTGCATTTTTTCACAAACCAGCTAGTACCTCAACAGAACCACCAAATCTTTCCTCAGCTAACTGATTTTCTTCCTCACAATCAAGTCTGTGGCAGGATTCAAACCCACAGTCCCACAGCTGTGATGAGAAGTTAAGGTCCTGACAAAGTAAAAACCTCTCTACCACCAATGCCCCTTTACCACCAATGCCCCTTTACTCAAACTGGTATGGTAGTTTCCTCAAATGAACGCATTCAGTGCCCTAGGTGGGATTTAAACATATCAAGGGTGTAAAGTTATAACTGACAAAATATATAAATATGTTAAAAACCATAAAATAGTTCTGGTCTCATATTTTTACCATCATTATTAAATGCATCTCGAGTGAGTTTTTGCAAAAGGTGTTGTTACTTTATGCATATGAATAATTTTTGTGCAAGTAGAATAAAATATTCACTAATGAAATACTAATAAAAGTGCTTTCATTTCACACAGTTTAGTGATGATTTCACACATGCACCACCCAATAAAACTTTAGCCTGCTAGGAAACAGATTCTACCCATGTGACCAGTACTGTCTGAGAATGGTTTGCACTCTTCAGTCAGTACATTATTTGGAATTTTTTCCCTTAAAAATAAGCCATATTGAAAGATGGACAAGTCAATTTAAGATAATTAGGGTGGTAATGACTCAACTGAAATTTACATATTTCATTTTCAAAGGTATAATTTTCAGCAAGATACTAACAATAACTATACTGATCACAGTCAGCCCATGACAACTCTATACTGTTTAACCCTTACCACACTAAATATTTGAAATGGACTTGCCCATCTTTCAATCCAGACAAACCCATTCATCATTTAAGGGAAACATATCCAGAAATAAACAGTGCAGACCATGATCAGATGGCATGCATGTGCCAGCTGAACATGGTCTGCACTGTTTCGCAAAGGTACAATCAGTTGCTGTCAGCAGGCTTAAGGCTAAAGATATGTTCACAAATTAATGTAAAGATATAAGTAACAAGGAATGTGACAGGATAATTATACTTATATATGAAACCCCAACAGAAAATATGTGAAATATTACACAACAAATAAGAAATTAACTTGGTAACTCACAGCATGATTTATAGATAAATTCTAAATCATAAAATAGCAAAGCCAGGTTAAAAAAAAAACCTTTAAAAATCAAATTCAGAACTAACATATAACTAAATTCATAAAATCACTAACAAAGCAACCTTTTTATCTTAAACAGAAAAGTTTTTAACCCCTAATTACACAATGTCAAAAACACTCAAATCTATTAAACATATTTTTATGATAACCATTTTTTCCCTACCTTTTTATAACAAATTACATTACCCAAAATTTTCCACAAATTATAAATGAACAAAAATTTGAAATTAAAAAAGATACATTAAATCACTATTAAAGTAAACTACAAGTATGTCTTTTTGCTTTTTACATTCTATACAAATTTGAAACTTTGCTGAAAACAAATTTACCCTCTAACCACTATATAATTGTTTACAGGATAAACAATAAATGTCATACTGTCAAAATCTATTGGTACATCACAAAGTAAACAAACATATAGAAATTCATAAGTAATATATTACAATGTCAAAAACACGATTGTGCAACAATGTTCCTTTTGGTTGGTGTCATAAGAGTTCATTGATTCCAGTCCTGTATTTCAATAAAACTGGATTTTTTTTTTTTGGAAACCAGTCCAAGCTTCAACTTTTACCATTGGCCTATTACACATACACATTTAAAATCAACCAATGAAAAGCTAGGTATATTTCAGACTGGTTTACAAAACTCTAGTATTTTACAGACTGGTACGCTAATCTCTTGCCTGTCCTACTATGGACAGAATAAAGAGGAACAGATTGATGATGTCAAGATAGAGGTTCAGGGCAGCAAAGATGTACTCTTCAGGGGAAATTGAGTACTTGTGCTTTCCTCCCATCATCATCTGGGTATCAAACACCAGGTACTGAAAATAAAACAGTTCATAATCAAAATACAAATATGATTTGTGGAATGATTTGTTTTGTTGAGTTATAAGACTCACACACTTAAAACAATTCTTCACAAACACTTTCCTTCTTTTTTACATGAAAGAAAATCTGAAGTGTTTAAGCATATAATTTTTCAGACAATCATTTAATAAATAAAGATTAACTAGCATATGACTTGGCACCAGTAGTGGTGGTGTTGGTAGTTTTCACTCTGGATCATTCCTGGGCATTTTACCAGTACTAGTTGCCTCAACTTTTGCAAGAGCTGATAACTTCTGAGCAGAGGACTGGTACAGTGTAAATGAACATAGAAAGAATTTCATGACCAATCACAATAAAAAATACCTGCACTGTACGAGAATTGAACCCAGATTGCCTGAATCACAGTCCACCACTCTATAGAGTTAACTGGACAGTGCTGGCACCAGTAACCATGGTAACTAAACTATTCAGTTTAACTGTCCCACATTCAATGCTCATTAATAACAAGTTGCACTTAGAACTACTTACAGCAGAGAAAAGGAGAGCTCCAAGGGAGGCATAGGCCAGGCTTGCAAACTGAAAAGCAAAATAAAATAAACAGTGATATTTTTAAACAAAGAGAATAGTTTGAGGTTTAACTTTCATGTCCATCAGTCAAACAGTAAGACTATGAACACATACCTGAATCTGTTCCAGGAATCAACCAGTTCTATGCAATGAGTGTCAAGTTCCTCATTAAAAACAACAGATTGCCACTGTAGGGGTTTAAACCCACGTTGCCAGCAATACATAACAAAGCGTAATTGTCATACTTTTAATCTACTGTTCAGAACTTTTCAGTTGTGTTCCTGGACTAACGAGATAATATTTCCTTCTATTATAAGTCTCCTATTAAATTAAGAAACTTGGTTGTAACATTATTTGAAATCCCACCAATTGGGTTTTCTGGCAAATACCTAACCAACTACGCCATCACTTCATATAGCAATATTTAAAGTATTTTACCTTGCTCTGTATAATAGCGCACAGAATTCCAAAACAGAAGAGAACAATGAGAAACACAAACAACATTCCTCCCATCATGGTGAAATCCCACTGAAATATAAGTACAATAAATATTATTAAGTGTTTATTTGTTTGGGTTTTTCCTTTTTTAGTTGAGTTTAAACAGTTTTAAGTCACATAACACTTTTAAGGTAACACTAGCATGGCAAATTTCTAGCTATACTGATATAGTAAGACCTCGGGCGCATTCTTTCTGACAAAAGTGGGCACTTGAGTATGACCAACAATCTTCCTAGTAGCAAGCTAGCTGGTTCCTCATATAAAAGATTTCTTAAGTAAAAATGACAGCAGTGGGGAGTATGTTTATCAATGCCAACAACCATAACCATTTTGCCATAAAGATCCGTGTTAAAGTTATAAAATCTATTAATCAAACAGTACAGTCAAGGCAAAAGAATGTTAACATAAATGTGTTTTACCCTGGTTTGGAAAGCAAAGATTGTCAAAGCCAGTGAAACAACCTGAAAATATAGGATTAAGGTAAAATAACAAGATAAATATCCCTCACAACGTTCATCATAACCTTCCCTAATGACCACCTCTGAATACAGACCGATAGAAAACTTCTGTTTAATTCTTGCATTTGTATGCTGGTATTGCAAATTTGTATGATGGTATTGCAAATTGACAATTGATGTGTTTTCAGAGAATACCTGAGAGCAATACAAGTCACTGTCTCCATTACAGACAATGTTGACATAACATATTGTTTCTAATATTTTGAATACTCTCCCACCTTCCCCCCCCCCCTCCAACAAAAAGTACTTAACCTTTTCCCTGATATAAGCGTGTTTCGACGGCTTTTTGCCCCCCCCCTTTTTGAGGCCTCAAACAGTGAAAAAATGCCCTATTTAGGCCCCAAACACTGGTTTTTCGTTTGAGAAATATTGTTAAACAAGAGGGCCATGATGGCCCTCAGGTCGCTCACCTGTATATAGGCACCCCCACCACCCCCCCCCCAACGTTGCAGGGCCAATTTAACCCAAGGGCTTTTATTTGCACAAACTTGGTAGACACCCATAAGAAGATGTTTCATGCTAAACATCTAAGCTCTAGCTCATTGGGCTTTTTAAAAGAAGATTTTTTTTAAAGTTTTTACTATACACATATAGTTAATAACAATGACACCCCCGGGGCCGGGCCAGTTTTGACCCCAGGGCTTTTATTTGAACAAACTTTGTAGACACTTACTAGAAGATGTTTCATGTTTAATATCTAAACTCTAGCTTTTTGGGTTTTTTCAAAGAAGATTTTAAGTTTTTGCTATACACATATAAAGAAAATCAATGTCCCCCGGGGCGGCCAATTTTGACCCCAGGGCTTTTATTTGAACAAACTTTGTAGACACCTATTAGAACATGTTTGATGCTAAATATCTTAGCCATAGCTCTTTGAGTTCTTTAAAAGAAGATTTTTTAAGTTTTTACTATATGCATATAGGGAAAATCAATGACCCCCCGGGCGGGGCCAATTTTGACCCCAGGGCTTTTATTTGAACAAACTTGGTAGACACTTATTAGAACATGTTTCATGCTAAATATCTTAGCTCTAACTCTTTTGTTTTTTTAAAAGAAGATTTTTTAAGTTTTTACTATATGCATATAGGGAAAAATCAATGACCCCCTGGGGCGGGGCCAATTTTGACCCCAGGGCTTTTATTTGAACAAACTTGGTAGACACCTATTAGAACATGCTTGATGCTCAATATCTTAGCCATAGCTCTTCGAGTTCTTTAAAAGAAGATTTTTTAAGTTTTTACTATATGCATATAGGGAAAATCAATGACCCCCTGGGGCGGGGCCAATTTTGACCCCAGGGCTTTTATTTGAACAAACTTGGTAGACACCCATTAGAACATGTTTCATGCTAAATATCTTAGCTCTGGCTCTTTGGGTTCTTTAAAAGAAGATTTTTTAAGTTTTTACTATATGCATATAGGGAAAATCAATGACCCCCCCCGGGGCAGGGCCAATTTTGACCATTTGAACAAACTTGGTAGACACTCACTAGAAGATGTTTCATGCCAAATATCTAAGCTCTAGCTCTTCTGGTTTTTTAAAAGAAGATATTTAAAGTTTTTTCTTTCGGTTGCCATGGCAACCAGAGTTCTGCATGGAATTAAATTCTTTGAACAATTTTTAAAGGTGACCACCAAAGGAACATTCCTGTGAAGTTTGGATGAAATTGGCTTAGTGGTTTATGAGGAGATGTCATTTAAAGTAAAAGTTTACGGACGGACGGACGGACGACGGACGGACGGACGCCGGACGAAAAGCGATCACAAAAGCTCACCCTGTCACTTTGTGACAGGTGAGCTAAAAAAGTGACCACTTTTTCGGCGCCGTCCCCCATCCAAAAGTTACATCAGGGGGTTGCCAGAAGGGGGATGTGCCCCCTTCTGTTTGTGGGGTTTGAAGGGGGGCGGAGGCCCTCTCATTGCCAAGAAAATTTTGGACATGTGACAGGCTAAAAATGGCCTCAGGTCGATCTTAAGGTAACGTGTAACCAACGCTGAAAAGCCTTTTACTCTATCTCAATCCATTGAGAAGTTGCAGCACTTTGAAATCAGTTTTGATGGAAAAAAAAAAATGCAAAATAGTGATTTTTGGCAATTTTGAGACGTCCCCCGTTGCCATGGTAACAGGAAATTTAAGATTGAGCATGCTGTTACAGAGGCTATGGTCCAGTCAACATTTGTGCCAAGTTTCATCAGTATTGAAGCATTTTTCATAGTTTCATAGCAGTTTGAACTTGTTACAGGAGGCTTTTCAATGAAAACGGCCATTTTTCGCAATATGCTCATGGGGAAAAAGGTTAAATGCTTAATGATAGTTTATGAGTGTTAATGATAGTTTATGCGTGAGACTAAAAAAAGGTTTGGAGCACCACACTTAATACTGTATTCCGGTATGTACCGAAAAAGGCGCTTGAATGATTAAATGCTATAATATCGCCTTTTCACCCAAGGGAATGAACTTTAAAAGGTCTTATTCGTCTTTTCACACCGATTTATGTATGATAATGAATGAAAAATGTAAAAAGTCAATGAAAAGAAAGATATTTGTCTATCTATTGATCATGATTTCTGCAAGCATCTAGAGGTACTGCTCCAGTCATGCATTGAGTTAAATCCATAGTTTATTACATGTATTAAAGTTACATTTAATAAATTTCATAAAAAACTAAATAGCGACAATTCATTAATAAATTGGGGTTTATATCGACTCCAGGTCTTATTTTGGTGTCCAGACAACCAAAATGAGTTTTATTAGCATAAAAATGGGTACCCTCATGGTGGCGAAATGGGAAGTACAAGCTCTGTTTGCATGAGAAACTCTGCCTTCGGATCATCCGTACATCAATATTAAATCAACAAACATGACTATAAGTAGCAGTCCTAATTTAACGGTATATTTCCGCATTGTAATGGATGTTTTCATACAAATTTAATCTTTTCACAAGATGATTACTTTTACTGAACCCAAGGTTTAGTGCACCGTGAAGCTAAATTGGTTAAAGTGTGTTTGCACAAGAAAATATCATATTTGCTGTGTCCCGGATAGCAACTATAAAACTGTGACGTAGCGCATACACGAGCTGATTACAGTCTTCATTTGCATGTTAAAATTCGTATACCAACTTTAGTGTTACCGTGGGGTTTTCCGTTTAAAATCCTGGTTTTCCGTTTAAAATTTATGAACTTATTTGATGAGATTTACAACAATACTGTTAAACAGGTTAATGAAACTGTAGAATGTTTGATTTTTAGGCCTACTGCAAAATATTTTTACATATTTATTTAATGTAGCTTTAAAGTCGGCTTATTAAATATGGTAATATATAAACTAAATAAATACAGCTACAAAAAGAATCCTGCTAATCAAAACAAGAGGGCCATGATGGCCCTGAGGTCGCTCACCTGTATATAGGCCCCCCCAACCCCCCAAACGTTGCAGGGCCAATTTAACCAAAGGGCTTTTATTTGCACAAACTTGGTAGACACCAATAAGAAGATGTTTCATGCTAAACATCTAAGCTCTAGCTCATTGGGCTATTTAAAAGAAAAATTTTTTTTAAGTTTTTACTATACACATATAGTTAAAAACAATGACACCCCTGGGGCCGGGCCAGTTATTACCCAAGGGTTTTTATTTGAACAAACTTTGTAGACACTTACTAGAATATGTTTCATGCTTAATATCTAAACTCTAGCTATTTGGTTTTTTTCAAAGAAGATTTTAAGTTTTTGCTTTACACATATAAGGAAAATCAATGACCCCGGGGCGGGGCCAATTTTGACCCCAGGTCTTTTATTTGAACAAACTTTGTAGACACTCACTAAAAGATGTTTCATGCTTAATATCTTAACTCTAGCTCTTTGGGTTATTTCAAAAAAGATTTTTTAAGTTTTTGCTATACACATATAAGGAAAATCAATGACCCCCGGGGCGGGGCCAATTTTGACCCCAGGGCTTTTATTTGAACAAACTTGGTAGACACCTATTAGAACATGTTTGATGCTAAATATCTTAACCATAGCTCTTTGAGTTCTTTAAAGGAAGATTTTTTAAGTTTTTACTATATGCATATATAGGGAAAATCAATGACCCCTGGGGCGGGGTCAATTTTGACCCCAGGGCTTTTATTTGAACAAACTTGGTAGACACCTATTAGAACATGTTTCATGCTAAATATCTTAGCTCTAACTCTTTTGGTTCTTTAAAAGAAAATTTTTTAAGTTTTTACTATATGCATATAGGGAAAATCAATGACCCCCTGGGGCGGGGCCAATTTTGACCCCAGGGCTTTTCTTTGAACAAACTTGGTAGACACCTATTAGAACATGTTTGATGCTCAATATCTTAGCCATAGCTCTTTGAGTTCTTTAAAAGAAGATTTTTTAAGTTTTTACTATATGCATATAGGGAAAATCAATGACCCCCCGGGGCGGGGCCAATTTTGACCCCAGGGCTTTTATTTGAACAAACTTGGTAGACACTCACTAGAAGATGTTTCATGCAAAATATCTAAGCTCTAGCTCTTATGGTTTTTTAAAAGAAGATATTTAAAGTTTTTTCTTTCGGTTGCCATGGCAACCAGAGTTCTGCATGGAATTAAATTCTTTGAACAATTTTTAAAGGTGACCACCAAAAGAACATTCCTGTGAAGTTTGGATGAAATTGGCTCAGCGGTTTATGAGGAGATGTCATTTAAAGTAAAATTTTACGGACGACGGACGGACGGTCGGACTGACGGACGACGGACGCCGGACGAAAAGCGATCACAAAAGCTCACCCTGTCACATTGTGACAGGTGAGCTAAAAATGTGATAGAAAAATGAACTTACAGCAGTTATTCCCACTGCCATGAGTACAGCCTCAGTGTCATAGTGGCTGAAAATAACAATCACATTTATCAACTAATAATCATGTTTTTCGTGTATCAGCAACAGTCATATGAATTCTATTTTGATTGCCTATTACACAGCTTTATATAGGTTAAGCTATCTTGAATCACTTACATGTTGGAATAGCAGTGATTAGTCTTTGGTACCAGTAAAGATCCAAGCCAGCCTGCACATCCATGCCATCTAAACAAGCTATGATATACTGTTGATATTTTGATACTGAAATCCATTTAGCTTCGAAAAAGACTGTTTTAAAGTCAAAAAGCGTTTTAATTTACACTTACCCAAAGAAAATTTCTTTTAGATGTTTGCCCTTTCTTTAAAAAAAACCCTGCTGTATTTGTCTTTCAAATTATTACGCTCTAAATACCTTACCCTGCTGTATTTGTGAAATAAACTTGCCCTGCTCTAAATAGTTTAACCTTCTATGTTCGTGTCAAAGGCTTGTCCTGCTCTTAACAGTTTAACCTTTACTGTTTGTGTCAAAGACTTGCCCTGCTCTAAATAGTTTCACTTTAACTGTTTGTGTCAAAGACTTGCCCTGCTCTAAATAGTTTCACTTTTATCTTTTGTGTCAAAGACTTGCCCTGCTCTAAATAGTTTAACTTTTACTGTTTGTGTCAAAGACTTGCCCTGCTCTAAATAGTTTAACTTTTACTGTTTGTGTCAAAGACTTGCCCTGCTCTAAATAGTTTCACTTTTACTGTTTGTGTCAAAGACTTGCCCTGCTCTAAATAGTTTAACCTTTACTGTTTGTGTCAAAGACTTGCCCTGCTCTAAATAGTTTAACTTTTACTGTTTGTGTCAAAGACTTGCCCTGCTCTAAATAGTTTCACTTTTATCTTTTGTGTCAAAGACTTGCCCTGCTCTAAATAGTTTAACCTTTACTGTTTGTGTCAAAGACTTGCCCATGCTCTAAATAGTTTCACTTTTACTGTTTGTGTCAAAGACTTGCCCTGCTCTAAATAGTTTCACTTTTACTGTTTGTGTCAAAGACTTGCCCTGCTCTAAATAGTTAAACAAGCAAATTCGTTGAATTTATATCCCCCGCCGAGTACTGGTTATTATTAACACAACAACTGAATACATAAGGCTTTATTTATATATTAATCATGGCATAAACAGTAATATTCTTTGAACTTGATAAATATTCAGGGCAATAACAGAGCCATAACTTTGTGTTAAATAGTAAAATCTGGAAATGCCAATGAGATGTATGCATACTACATAACTAATCAAGGGCCATAAATCTGAGTTATAAGTATCTGACTGGAACAAGGCGACTATATGCACATCTCCTCTTAGTATCCCATAAAGTTTCATTGAATTCCAGCCAGTAGTAGCAGAGAAGTAGCGAGGAAACAAATATTTTTCTATATGGATACTGCATAACTAATCAAGGGCCATAACTCTGAGTTAAAGTGTCTGACCAGAACAAGCCGACGATATGCACATCTCCTCCTGGTATTGAAGGTTCCCATAAAGTTTCGTTGAATTCCAGCCAGTAGTTGCAGTATAGTAGCGCGGAAACGATTTTTACTCCATATGCATACTGCATAACTAATCAAGGGCCATAACTCTGAGTTAAAGTGTCTGACCGGAACAAGCCGACGATATGCGCATCTCCTTTTGGTATTGAAGGTTCCCATAAAGTTTCGTTGAATTCCAGCCAGTAGTTGCAGAGAAGTAGTGCGGAAATGATTTTTACTCTATATGCATACTACATAACTCATCAAGGGCCATAACTCTGAGTTAAAGGGTCTGACCGGAACAAGCCGACGATATGCGCATCTCCTCTTGATATTGATGATTCCCATAAAGTTTCGTTGAATTCCAGCCAGTAGTTGCAGAAAACTACTCCGGAAACGATTTTTATTCCATATGCATATTGCATAACTAATCAAGGGCCATAACTCTGAGTTAAAGTGTCTGACCGAAACAAGCCGACGATATGCGCATCTCCTCTTGATATTGATGATTCCCATAAAGTTTCGTTGAATTCCAGCCAGTAGTTGCAGAGAAGTAGCGCGGAAACGATTTTTACACCATATGCATACTGCATAACTAATCAAGGGCCATAACTCTGAGTTAAAGTGTCTGACTGGAACAAGCCGACGATATGCGCATCTCCTCTTGGTATTGATGATTCCCATAAAGTTTCGTTGAATTCCAGCCAGTAGTTGCAGAGAACTACTCCGGAAACGATTTTTACTCTATATGCATACTACATTACTAATCAAGGGCCATAACTCAGAGTTAAAGGGTCGGACCGGAACAAGCAGACGATATGCGCATCTCCTCTTGATATTGATGATTCCCATAAAGTTTCGTTGAATTCTAGCCAGTAGTTGCAGAGAACTACTCCGGAAACGAAATTCGGACGGACGGACGGACGGACAATGCCAAAACTATATCCCCCTCCCTATTCCATCGGCGGGGGATAATAAAAACTAGAAATGTGTCACTGATAGACATTGATACCCTCACATTTTACTGTTTTATTTTTTTTTATCAGTCTATGCACAGACAAACAGACAGAGTGCCAGCATGGCAGAGTGTTACAAATAGTCTTGGACCACCAATTTATATTCCCATACCCAAATGGAAGTATAATAACAAGCAGTTAACAGTTAAGGACTTGGTCAAACTGTATAAATAGGAAAGCTTGCTTGGCTCCAACTTATGGCATCATTATACCATCCATCACTAGAATTCACAGTCTCTTTTAATACTGACAATTATTTAGTGTTAATGATACATTTTCAAATTAAATTAAAATCTAGAGTATATGTATTTTCCTGTATAAATGTACCTTGAAACAACTCCCAACATGAAGGCTTCCAGTAAAGTCTGAAATAAAAGAAATATTGCCTTTTGAATTTTATAAACTAGATAATTACTATGTTGTAGTGAGACAGCGTAAATTTGAAACAAAAAAGAATTCTGACCTGAATCCAAGGACAGACTTTGTATATGCAGAGAAAAAGTCTATCTTAAGCACTATTGCTTAACAAGGAGATACATGTATAAATTATATTTATTGAAATTGATTGAAATAAAAACGTCTGGAAGTAAATTCAATAAATTACATCTTATGCCAATTAAACCAGTGTTTATTACAAATACTGAGCCAACGCTACATGTAGCATGGCTTTTATGGTAACATTCACTTCAAATGTTTCAATGTAACAGCAATATCATTTGCAGCAATACTTGTTGATTAAGAAATTTTAGATTCTGATTTCATTTTGCTTTTGATAATAAGAATCCATTGTAGGTTCAATATTTAATTTATTGAACAAGTTGAATAAAGTTATATTATGCGAGTCTCTGGCGAGCATATTTAATAAATCAAGGGGTTCAATAAATTTAGTTATCAAAGTACACAAATATAATATCTTATTTATCACATTATCCAAAATAGGAACTGTTCACAGTAAAAAGAATTGCTTTTTATTGACACTTTTATATTGTAATGCTGACATTCAGCACATCTTTACACTATGTTTGTATAATGCAAATGACGTCATGTCAAAATACATGCACAACTGTGCAATACCATTTTTACAGTCACAAAGGCATGTATGTGATAAGTAAGTATATTCATTATTTACCTGTTCATATAGCTAAACATTGTATTTACTACTTGTTTCAAATATATATACATATATGACCTGATGAAATGAAAACACTGTATTGTATACAAGTATGATCTGGAATGATGGTTCTAAGTTAATATGGCTAATGCTATGTCACAATGTTACATTAGTTGAATATAAACTTTAAACAGGAAGGGATAATTATATAATACATGTCAAACGGTAATTGTGAGTGTTTTGATTCAACTTCTGTGTGTCTCCTGTGGATTTTAATAGAATGGATCACACTTGATACAAAACAGCCTCTTGTGATCCAAGTCTAGCAAAATCTACTCAAGTCAAAAACGAATTCTATATAATGATACCCTTTTTATAACCTTAATGTATGAATATTTTGCTCAGCATGTGATTCTAAGGTGATGTGTAATACTTACAAATAGACCAAGAAGTATGAAATTGGTTGGGAAAGATCGTCTGACATCTGGACAGCATGCCAGGGCAATCAACAAGCCAAAGGTCAAAACCCTGAAAAACACAGCAATAATTACATAATTTTCACATAGAATTTTAAGAAAAAATTGTAAAAATAAAGGTATTAATTTTATCGTAAACATGTAAAGTTACTGTATATACATCATCACCTTAGTGCAGTTACATGTTAACTCCTTATATGATTTTACATGAGTTAAGGTGAAAACATGTATATTATTGCCAAAATTACCTAACATGTACATATATTGTACATGTATTTCTGCCATATTCTGCAATTTATAAATGAACAGTGACAATTTTGAAATAGAGAGAGATTTACAACCCAAATTTGTTATGATTTAGCAGTTTTTCACTTACTCAATTATAAATTACAAACAGGCTATGCAAGACACTTAACATCATAAAAATTACTAAACTAAGCAGTTTGTTTATAAGGTGAATGAAATAAAACAATATTTCAGTCCACATGAAGAATTTAAGAAATACTTGTGTGTTTGGAAACATGATCTCTAAGTACTGTTAAAAAAAATTGACTGAGCTACTGTGACATTAATATTTAACCATGACAGATAATACTTACATAGCAACAATCATCAGCCATGGATTAGCATAAGAGTATTCCTTTGCTGCAGGTCTAAAAATAAAGAAATTTTATAAATAGAATAACTGCTACAAATAAATAAGGTCTTTTAAAAAATAGATAAACTTCTAAAAATAAATAAGGTCTAAAAATAAGATATATTCCATTAATAAGTAAGGTCTGATGATTTAAAAAGCTCAAATGCATAAACGTAGAAGCAACTTTGGCTGTTTAAAATATTCATTATTATCTTATAAACTTCTAACAAACTTAGTTCTTGAACTACTTTTGGTAGGTCCGTGTAGTGTTTATAAATCAATAAATTAATGATGCAACATAATAAGTAAATTGTAAAATAAATGTTATTTAGGGCAGTTAATGTGATCCAAATTGTCAGAAAATTTCAAATTTAGCCATTCTCATTGGTTGCTGGGGTTCAAACAACATTTTCTGATATGACACTCATACTGGTTAGCCCAAATAGCTTGTATAAAAGCATTAGTTTATACAGATTTTTTTTTAGTTTGATTATGTGTAGGAAGCCTAAAGATTATAGAACACACACTCGAATCTGTTTTCCTGAGCAAATGAATGTGAAATTTTTTTGCTCAAGGAAACAATGGCTTGCCCTTGACAGGGTTTGAAGCCATGCAGACAGCCATCATTAGATTACTGGTCCGATGTGATAACAACTCGGCCATGCGACCAAACGTCACACAAAATCATTCATACAGGCTAAAAGCTTTCCCCATGATCAATCTTGTGTAAAGAAGTTTATGTCAGTTAAATCATACATTAGTAACTTATTAATTACTACTTATTATACAAGCCTGATTGTGCAAAAACTTCTTTAAACTCACATTAATCAGGGTCAAGTCTAGTTCCCTGGTATTAACCAGGACTGGTACCAGCATATGAAAAAGATACAGCTTGTACCCTTGAGACCTGGGTTGAGAGACCACTAATTTAAGAACATTTCAACTAGTAAAGATAAACTTACACATATATAAAGATGCTCATTATTGCTATGGTAACAGCAATCTGTGACAGGAGTATTCCATATACTTTCCTGATAAATCCTGAATAAAATGTTAAACTAGTTAAAACATATACAGTACTAATAACCAATAAAATTCTTGGAAAATAATAATTGTAGCCATAACAACTAAGACCAAGTTTTGTGAAATTATGTGATTAAATGTAAGAAAAGTTTAAAACTTATGACAAAAAGTTTAGCTCTGAATTCGAATGCTTTTCTTTAAAGGGACACCACTGAGGTTTAAAAGTCTAAAAACATAACATTTGAATTTCTTACATAAATGAGCTGGAGCACTTTAAACAGAAATATATGCAAAGATAGTTAAGAAATATACTTTGAAATAAATTGAAAATCGTATTTTTATGCCTTTCTTTGCCTAATTTGAGTGAAAAGCGTTTAAACGTTTTTCATTTTGGTACATTTTTTACAATTTGAATAATTATTCTGGAAAAACGAAGTGCGCGAATGATCTGAAATTTTGCACAAAGGTTAAAGAACTAAACATACATCAAATGGTTCATTTATCTGGAAAAAACTATTTCAGTCCCATCATGTCAAAAAAACTCAGTGGAATCCCTTTAAAATAGAAAAAATTAATAATATGAGCCTAGGTAACCGTATGACCTATAATATTGCAACATGTATTATTGTTAAATATTCATTTTTTCAACCCTTAACCTGCTTAATTTTGTTACGGTTATGAAAAAACCATTCAATGTTTAAAGGATGTCAATATATGGGTCTGACAGTGTGATATGTGACATTCAAAATGTTGTCATGACAACAGAATATAAATTAAATATACAATGTACAGAAGAAAACTGTTATAGACTTTTGAAAATTTATCGTCTATTTAAACAAAAAGTTCAAGTGGCCTTCAGCTGTTCTAAATGTTAAATATGTTATTTTTTGATAAATCCTTTCATATATTATTGTTAAATCAAAAGAATCAAGGTGTAAAATGAAATTTGTCATCAATAAAATACATAAACAATAAGGAAACCATCGATACTATAATCTACCAGTCCACTCTCTATATGTAAAATAGTAAAGCTAAAGATTTGTTTCCCAATCTTCTATTTTTAGAAAACGAACATCACTGCACGTTTAATAATGAAAAGTTCTCAGGGTGCTGTTTTGAAGAATGCTTAACAGTGATGATGATGCACTTTTCCTTGGTAAAACTACTGAAAAACTTAATTTGAAACAACACTAAATTGATTTTTCAACAAAAAAATAAAACTTTTAATTAACTTTTGACAGCAATGCATTAGTTTCAAATTCAATCTAGTTTTACCCAGTCGTATCTCTTTGTCTGAAAACCCAGAGAATTCTCCGGCAAAATTTGTCTCCTCGTCATACATGTTGCCTGAAACAGATTTAAACAAAGATAATGTTATCACCAACTATATGACACCATTTAGATAATTAGAAAAGATAAACAAGAGGGCCATGATGGCCCTGAGTCGCTCACCAGAAACAACTGCTTTTCAGTGTTGGAATGTCAATATATTCTCATATTAAACTTGAGCATAGAATATGTTTAAACAACAATTTGAAAAATGCCATGACCTGGGGCATTTAAGCTGGGTTAATCAAATTAATATGAGCAAACTTGATAAAAGACTACCTAACAATGCTACAAAGTTTGGTGACTACCTATCAATTATTTCAGTTGGAAATGATGTTTGAAGGTTTTTTTTCTATTTTTAGCTTTAGTGGCCCCTAAAAAAGGCTAATAAAATTAATATAAGCAAACTTGATAAAAGATTGCCCAAGAAAAAATTGCTACAGACAAAGTTTGGTGATCATCCATCAATTAGTTCCGAAGTAGGAGATGTTTAAAGGTTTTTCTATTTTTAGCTTTAGCGGCCCCTAAAAAGGGCCAATCAAAATAATATTAGCAAACTGGATAAAAGACTATCCAAGAATGCTACAGACAAAGTTTAGTGATCATCTGTCTATTAGTTCTCTAGAAATAGACATTTAACAGTATTTCTATTTTTAGCTTAAGTGGCCCCTAAAGGGGCCAATCAAATTAATATGAGCAAACTTGATAAAACACTACCAAAGAATGCTGTTGACAAAATTTGGTGATCATCCATCAATTAGTTCTGTAGGAGAAGATGTTTAAAGGTTTTTCTATTTTTAGCCCTAGAGATCCCTAAAAGGGGCCAATCAAAAATAATATTAGCAAACTTGATAAAAGACTACCCAACAATGCTACAGACGAAGTTCGGTGATCATCCATCAATTAGTTCTGTAGAAATAGATGTTTAAAGGTTTTTCTATTTTTAGGCTTTAAGAGACCCCTAAAAGGAGCCAATCAAATTAATATGAGCAAATTTGATAAAACACTACCCAAGAATGCTGTCGACAATATTTGGTGATCATCCATCAATTAGTTCTGTAGGAGAAGATGTTTAAAGGTTTTTCTATTTTAAGCCTTAGAGACCCCTAAAAGGGGCCAATCAAAATAATATTAGCAAACTTGATAAAAGACTCCCTAAGAATGCTACAGACAAAGTTTGGTGATCATCCATCAATTAGTTCTGTAGAAATAGACGTTTAAATGTTTTTCTATTTTTAGCTTTAGCGGCCCCTAAAAGGGGCCAATCAAATTCATATGAGCAAATTTGATAAAAGACTACCCAAGAATGCTACAGACAAAGTTTGGTGATCATCCATCAATTAGTTCTGTAGAAGAAGATGTTTAAAGGTTTTTCTATTTTTAGGCTTAGAGACCCCTAAAAGGAGCCAATTAAATTAATATGAGCAAACTTGATAAAAGACTACCCAAGAATGCTACAGACAAAGTTTGTTGATCATCCATCAATTAGTTCTGTAGAAGAAGATGTTTAAAGGTTTTTCTATTTTTAGCTCTGCTGACCTCTTAAAGGAGCCATTTGGACTGACATGAGCAAATTCAAGTGTAACTGTCACAAGGTTGCTACAGACCAAATTTGAAGTAAATCTGCCCAGTAGTTTCAGAGAAGAAGACGATTGTTGGCGCATGACGACGGACGATGGACGCCGGAGCATCCCCCTTTGATACTAATAGCTCACCCTGAGCCTTCGGCTCTGGTGAGCTAAAAAAGATATAAAAATATGATTATAAGAAGTTTATATTATGAATGATTTTACATTAAGTTGTTAAACACTTAAGCTTTTGAAAATTGTCTTGTGTAATGGAAACTTAGCCTGCTGACAGCAACTGAATCTACTCATGCTACCAATGCAGTTCAAAATCCGTCAGCATATTCATGCCATTTGATTTAATATTTCTTTTTAACCTCTATTTTTATTCATAGAATAGGAAATGATAGGATAGAATAGGACAGAAAAATGGGATAGGATAGACATAGAATAAAAGGATGGGATAGGATAGATATAGAATAAAAGGATAGGATATGATAGGATAGAAAAGAATAGGATAGAATTAAAATATAGGATAGAATAAGATATGATAGAAGGAAAGGATAGGATAGTATAGAAGGAAAGGACAGAAGGAGAGGATAGAAGGATAGGATAAAATAAGATATGATAGAAGGATAGGATAGGATAGAAGGATATGATTAGGAGAGGATAAAAGGATAGGATAGGATAGAAGGATAGGATAGTATATAAGGATAGGATAGGAGGATAGGATAGGATAGAAGAAGAGGATAGAAGGAAAGGATAAAATAAGATATGATAGAAGGATAGGATAGGATAGAAGGATATGATTAGGAGAGGATAAAAGGATAGGATAGGATAGAAGGATAGGATAGTATATAAGGATAGGATAGGAGGATAGGATAGGAGGATAGGATAGAAGAAGAGGATAGAATGATAGGATAGGAGAGGATAGAAGGAAAGGAGAGGATAGAAGGATAGGATAGAAGGATAGAAGGATAGGATAGAAGGATAGGATAGGATAGAAGGAAAGGAAAGGATATAATAGAAGGATAGGATAGAAGGATAGGATAGAAGATAGAAGGATAGGATAGGATAGAAGGAGAGGATAGAAGGATAGGATAGGAAAGAAGGATAGGATATGATAGAAGGAAGGATAGGATAGGATAGAAGGATAGGAGAGGATAGAAGGATAGGATAGGATAGAAGGAAAGGATAGGATAGAAGAATAGGAGAGGATAGAAGGAGAGGGATAAGGAGAGGATAGAAGGAGATGGTAGAAGGAGAGGATATAAGGAAAGGATTGGATAGAAGGATATGATAGGACAGAAGGATAGGACAGGACAGAAGGATAGGATAGGATAGAAGGAAAGGATAGAAGGAGAGGATATAAGGATAGGATAGAAGGATAGGATAGGATAGAAGGATAGAGGGAGATGATAAGATAGAAGGATAGGATAGAAGGAGAGGATAGAAGGATAGGATAGAAGAATAAGATACATGTAGGATAGGATAGGATAAAAAAGTTTCACACAAGAAAACTTTTAAACTAAACAGACAATAGAGAACAGTCCAACAAAAAGCAATTAAACTTAGTTCAGTCTTTCATGCTAGAAAAAATAAATGCAGGAAAAAGAAGCTTTTCACTTAGATTTTATCTGGACAAAAAAAATACACGAGGACAAATCCATTCCACAACATAGGAGCAAGGGTTATAAATGAAATAGAATAATGCTGTTTATTTAAATAAAATTGTAATGTATTAATAACTTTTCATCAAGCATTTAATATAGGTCTTGTTATTTTTGCAACTGCCCTATAAAAACACACACACATAAAAATTCTTCTATGCTGGTTCCATGTTATTTCACTAAGGACTGTGAATGCGATTAAGGTTAGAAATGATGGCTAATGTTTAGTACAAAAAATGTAAAATGAACACAGTCTCTGTTTCATAGAAAGGGCATTCCTTTTTTAAACTGTAACACCAGTTAAAATATTGTTGCTTTTAAACAAAATCAATATTCTTTCAATTCAACTGATTAAGAGAAAACAATAGAAATACTAGAAATTATTGTAAACTGCTAGACAATGTTTCTATTCTTAAATTTGTTTTTATTTCAAGTATGTAACAATTATTTCTATTCTGATGGCAGGTCCTGTAAACAGACCTATCCCCAATCAACAGATATTCCCATTTTCTCAAAATGGCTTTGATCAAAAATTTCATTATCACTCATTTTCAATAAGCAGGTGCATTCATGTCGCTGGTTAATATTCTCGTTCCCTTAAGATATTAAGTTTGGTCTATCAACCTAACAATATACCATTGCGGTAGTCCGACTACAATACAGTTTAAAAAAAATGTTATCTCATCAAATTTGCGAAAATTTTAACATATAAAATATATTTTTGACATGTCCGTTACTGTCGCCGATCAATATGCAGTGCATTTGAACACATGTGCAAATTAAATAAAACAATTTAGTTCACTTTTTTAAGTGTAATTAAGGAAAATTAACCTTACTTAAATATATCATATATAGTTCCCATCAACTTTCAATTGTGAATTATCGTTTTAAGCTTATAAAAAGTGTAGGTTTATGAAATTGTTTTTTGTACGAAATGTTCGTTATTTAGTTTTTACACGGCAGTATTTCACAGAAAAACACATAAAATTTATCGTTTTGATTATCATCATAGACATTAGTCTTATTATAATTCATAATACTTCAATTCAAATAATGAACTCGAGTACTTTTGACAGTATAGAAGGAAAAAGTAAACACTTTTTCTAAATTGACTTTTAATTGACATGTTCGTTACATTAAGTTTCTAAAATACCGTACCGTTTGTGAGACATTAACTTACCGTGAAATGATTAATGCCGCTTGTAATCTCAAATGAACATGTTAACGTCATATTCATTTGATATTACTGAAAGATTATCAAATAAAAAATCGTAATTTGAAATGTTTGTTATTGACATATCGATACTGCATGATTTAACGGTTGGGGCGCAGTTTTTTTATCTCTCCGTTTGTGACGTCATTAAACTTGATGACATCACTCCCAATATGGCTACCAGAGAAGATCAACTTCCATGTTTTAAAAATTAAAAGGAGATCTTGCAAAACGACGGTGAGTTCATTTTCTTTAAGCCACACATTTGCTTAAAATTTATTTTTTTAACATGTTTTTTTTATAAATCTTTTGACATTGGAGTGAAATTTGAATATATTGTGTGTATTATTTGATGCCTTACATGGGTTCAAAATGTTGGGCATGACAAAAGAATGACATGTTCGTTACTAAAAAGTAACGAACATGTATGCTGCATTTGCGAGTCACTGTACCAGTCAAACTTATAACTAAGATGTTTTTCCAATTAAAGTATATTATTTATTCCTTATTTTCACCTTTTATCAATGTCTAAAGTTACCTTAAGCATGATTTCTTTAGAAATCGTATTTA